GACAGACAGAGATAGAGACAGAGACACACACAGACAGACAGAGATAGAAAGACAGAGACACACAGACAGACAGAGATAGAGACACACAGACAGACAGAGATAGAGAGACAGAGACACACAGACAGACAGAGATAGAGACAGAGACACACACAGACAGACAGAGATAGAAAGACAGAGACACACAGACAGACAGAGATAGAGACACACAGACAGACAGAGATAGAGAGACAGAGACACACAGACAGACAGAGATAGAGACAGAGACACACAGACAGACAGAGATAGAAAGACAGAGACACACAGACAGACAGAGATAGAGACACACAGACAGACAGAGATAGAGACACACACACAGACAGAGATAGAGAGACAGAGAGAACACTAGGTAGCATTAGGCTACATATAATTTACCATTGTGTCTCTCTCTCTCTCTCCTTAGAACACAACGAAGGAGGGTTTTCTATCTTAGCGTGACTGGGATTCATTAAGCCCAAACGGTTCAACTTCGCAGGGGGGGGGGGTTGCTTGTTTGCATGCGTGACAATTACAAGGTTTCTATTATTTCAATTTTTTTTTACAATTTTGAGATTTGTTCATTGTTTCGTGTTATTTTCCTGTTGGATAGGAACGGTAGGGAAAAGGAGGAGAGGTCTTTATCTCACTCGTGTGTCTGTTTTAGTCTCTTTCACCTGTGTACGACTGAGATTCACCTGTGTACGTCTGAGGCTCACCTGTGTACGTCTGAGGCTCACCTGTGTACGTTTGAGATTCACCTGTGTGCGTTTGAGATTCACCTGTGTGCGTTTGAGATTCACCTGTGTGCGTTTGAGATTCACCTGTGTGCGTTTGAGATTCACCTGTGTGCGTTTGAGATTCACCTGTGTGCGTTTGAGATTCACCTGTGTGCGTTTGAGATTCACCTGTGTGCGTCTGAGATTCACTGTGTACACCTGAGATTCACTGTGTACACCTCACGGCCACGTTAGTGTGTCAGAGATCAGACGCTTTGGGGGGGGGGGATAGGGAATGGAATTATTAGGTAAAGCACCAAGCCATCACGATTATATAGCACTGGGAAGGGGTCAGGATAAGGATTTGGGATGGACGGGAGGAAAGGAATGGTGCCCAACCACTTGTGGACGGTCGGGGATTGAACGCCGACCTGCATGAAGCGAGACCGTCGCTCTACCGTCCAGCCCAAGTGGTTGGGCGTAGTCTCACCCAACTTTGCAGGGTGACTGGTGTGAGGGTTGGTCCCCTATGTCCCCAAGAATTCTGTAGAGATGAACAGTTGGGTGCTAACTCCATAGAGTTTCACCATCTGTTTATTATATGTTAGAATTTAGATTTAGATGCACAAACTGCATGCTCTGATAGGAGACTTGCATTTAGAGGGATTTAAACACTTAAAAAGGGCATTTTGGGATTAAATCTAGGTATATAAATTGGGATACTAGTGTGTATAGATATACAAGTGTGTATAGATATACAAGTGTGTATAGATATACAAGTGTGTATAGATATACAAGTGTGTATAGATATACAAGTGTGTATAGATATACAAGTGTGTATAGATATAGGATATTTTACATTTTTCAGGACAGTTTATATTTTAGTAATTTTAGTTTACATTTTTCAATAGGTAAATTGCAAGATGGGACTTAGTCTTAACCTAATCTAACCCGAACCTAACCTGAACCTAACCTGAACCTAACCTGAACCTAACCTGAACCTAACCCGAACCTAACCTGAACCTAACCTGAACCTAACCTGAACCTAACCTGAACCTAACCCGAACCTAACCTGAACCTAACCTGAACCTAACCCGAACCTAACCTGAACCTAACCTGAACCTAACCCGAACCTAACCCGAACCTAACCTGAACCTAACCTGAACCTAACCTGAACCTAACCTGAACCTAACCCGAACCTAACCTAGCCTAACCCAGCTCATCCCACGCATTGAAACTGCGAATAATTGTGATCTGGGATGATTTATAGTAGCTCATATTATGCCCGTTTGGGGATTTTGATGTCAAAATGCGATGTGTTATCAGTCTGTTGACAGCCAGTCTGCTGCACGAGCCCAAACGCAGGCTTCCTGTCCCCATTATTAGGAATGATTACTTTCTTGTTATGTACATTTGTAAATAAACAATTAAATGTTATAGTATGCTTAAGTGATATACTGTGATATACTCTGCTGTTCTCTGCTGTACTCTGCTGTACTCTAATGTACTCTGCTGTATTCTGATGTTCTCAGATGTTCTCTGTTGCATTCTGATGTTCTCTGTTGTATTCTGATGTTCTCTGCTGTATTCTGATGTTCTCTATTGTATTCTGATGTTCTCTGCTGTATTCTGATGTTCTCTATTGTATTCTGATGTTCTCTATTGTATTCTGATGTTCTCTGCTGTATTCTGATGTTCTCTATTGTATTCTGATGTTCTCTGCTGTTCTCTGCTGTATTCTGATGTTCTCTGCTGTATTCTGCTGTATTCTGATGTTCTCTATTGTATTCTGATGTTCTCTATTGTATTCTGATGTTCTCTATTGTATTCTGCTGTTCTCTGCTGTATTCTGCTGTTCTCTGCTGTATTCTGCTGTTCTCTGATGGTAGTCATGACTGCATTTTAATATCTAATCATAGGTAGAATAAAACCAGCCTTATACAACAATGATATATTATTCATATGTTTATATATATATATATTTATATATATATATATATATATATATATATATATATATATATATATAATGTGTGTGTACAAATGTGTGGTGTTAGGAGACAGGGAGAGATTAGCTACTGACTCGCCTGCCAGGTTTGAGAGCAATTAATGATAATTACAGTGATGTAGAGAGAGTGTCAAAGAATGGTGTGTGGGTGCCTCTGTCAGCCTCTGCATGCGTGGCACACACATACACACACACACACACACACACACACACACACACACACACATCCAGACACACACACACACACACACTCCAGTTGATTGGTGGATGCTGACTCCATACACAGTTTCAAGTGTAGATATGATAGAGTCCAGTAGGCTCAGGACTACTGGACAGTTGAGAGGCGGGACCAAAGAGCCAGAGCTCAACCCCCGTAAGCACAAATAGGTGAGTACACACACACACACACACACACACACACACACACACACACACACACACACACACACACACACATCAGAACTGTCTTCAGGAACCTGTGTAAGGAATCATTCAGAATCTTGTACACCACATACATAAGACCAATCCTGGAGTATGCGGCCCCAGCATGGAGCCCGTACCTTGTCAAGCATAAGACGAAACTGGAAAAGTTCAGAGGTATGCCACTAGACTAGTCCCAGAACTATGAGGCATGAGTTACGATGAAACGCTGCGTGAAATGCACCTCACGACACTGGAAGACAGTAGAGTAAGGGGAGACATGATCACTACCTACAAAATTCTCAAGGGAATTAACAAGGCAGACAAGGATAAACTTTTTAACACTGGTGGTACGCGAACAAGGGGACACACGTGGAATCTGAGTACCCAAATGAGCCACAGGGACGTTAGAAAGAACTTTTTCAGTGTCAGAGTAGTTAACAAGTGGAATGCATTAGGAAGTGATGTGGTGGAGGCTGACTCCATACACAGTTTCAAATGTAGATATGATAGAGCCCAGTAGGCTCAGGAATCTGTACACCAGTTGATTGACAGTTGAGAGGCGGGACCAAAGAGCCAGAGCTCAATCCCCGCAAGCACAACTAGGTGAATACAGACACACACTCACAAAACACATTCACACACGCGCCCACACACACACACACACACACAACACACACACACACACACACACACACACACACACACACACACACACACACACACACACACACACAGGCTGGACCAGAAGCGCGCTTATCACTCCACTACAAAACAACAAAGATATTCGATTACTTCCTGATCAAGAAAATAAAATAATTACATTTAACAAAGAAAAAAAAATACAGTAACTAATTTTTTTGACAAGATGACATGAGCTCCGATGAAACTGATCTTCTAAAAACAAAGAAAAAATCCCAGAGGAGCTCATTTTTTGCCCATTTAAAGCTGGAAAAAACTTGGTCTGATCAGCTTGAAATTCGTTGATGTCTGAGATGAAATCTTAAGGATGCTGAGGGAAGTAATCTGTGATGACAGGAACATGTCTCTGGAGACTGTATGTGGGCTTCGCTATATAAAATCATATATAATATCATAGCTAATGGACAATAAGACTCCATTTGATTATCCATTGGTATATATTTATACATATATACATGTACCCCCCCAAATACATATACACCTACATTCACACATACTTTAATATATATATATATATACACACACACGCACCCATATGCATACACGCAAGTATATACAAATACACACCCATACTTATATACATATACATTCACCCTTATATGTATATAACTGACCTTGAGAGCCCTTATAGGTATGTGTTATTTGTGTTCCCATTGGGCGTAGTATGTGGGAGTGATGTGGGAGTGATGTGGGAGTGATGTGGGAGTGATGTGGGCGTGATGTGGGAGTGATGTGGGAGTGATGTGGGAGTGATGTGGGCGTGATGTGGGCGTGATGTGGGAGTGATGTGGGAGTGATGTGGGCGTGATGTGGGAGTGATGTGGGCGTGATGTGGGAGTGATGTGGGAGTGATGTGGGAGTGATGTGGGAGTGATGTGGGAGTGATGTGGGAGTGATGTGGGAGTGATGTGGGCGTGATGTGGGAGTGATGTGGGAGTGATGTGGGAGTGATGTGGGAGTGATGTGGGCGTGATGTGGGAGTGATGTGGGAGTGATGTGGGAGTGATGTGGGAGTGATGTGGGAGTGATGTGGGAGTGATGTGGGAGTGATGTGGGAGTGATGTGGGCGTGATGTGGGAGTGATGTGGGAGTGATGTGGGAGTGATGTGGGAGTGATGTGGGAGTGATGTGGGCGTGATGTGGGCGTGATGTGGGAGTGATGTGGGAGTGATGTGGGAGTGATGTGGGAGTGATGTGGGAGTGATATGGGAGAACGTGATGGTGGATTTTGAGTGTGGCCCTTGAGTGCAAGATCTATTGTGATCACCTTATTTAGATCCTTCAAACTTAAAACCACTGCACTTACACCTGTATCTACCCCTGCTGCACCCACACCTGCACCACCACACACCTACACCACACACCTGCCGCTGCACCACCTCCATCCCCCCCCACACACCCCTCCTAACCCCATACATATACAGCTTTGTTTTGCTTCCCACCCTTACGGGCTCACCATAGCCCGTGCTACTGGAACTTATTGTTCTGAGTAGCGAATCTTAAACAACAACAACAGCTTCCCACCCCAATCCCTTGAGCAGTGTGGGAATGACCCTTATGTACCCCCGACCGAGAGTCCAATACCACACGCAACCACACACCCAAACAAGGGAAGAGTCACAGATTGATTGATAAAGATTGAGCCACCTAAGAGGTGGCACGGGCATGAATAACCCGTAAAAAGAATCACACACACGCACACTTGTACAAAAATACTGGTGATTGGTGAGAAGAAACCCAATCCAACTACCCACCTGCCCAGACAATTTTATTTAATATATTTTGTATCAAAAAACGCCTAAATCTATATGCCCTGAGAGCCACCGTAGGCCTATATATTTATATATATATACGCCACTCCTGCCATTATCCTGGCTATGGAAGCCACTGTGTTCAACTCGACTATTGTAGCCGTCGCGAGACAGAATAATCGATAAACCCCTAATGTGTGTGTTTGGGTATGTGTGTTTATTGATACCCTGTATAGAGTGTGTGTGTACAAGGCCAAAGAGGGGCAAGTCCAGTTGCTCCGGGGCAGCACCATAGCTAGCAAGTCCAAGTGAGGTTGGACTTGGGACGGAAAGAGCGCCCGCGCGAAGTCGCCCGGCTGATGTGTGGGCAAGAGTCTTGAGCAAGAGTCTTGTCTTGAGCAAGAGTCGTGGAGAGGCTGCCGCTGCGGCCACCGCTGCGGCAGCCACTGCGGCTACCGCTGCCGCGTCGTCGGTGATGGAGAGGGAGTCAGAGGGTGTTGGAGAGGCCTCTCAGCGCCAACACCGTCGCCACCACTATCGTCAACACCACGCGGCCGCGTCGGCACTTCGCTCTCTCCCTCACTCTCGCTGACCGTACGCCGGAGCTCACTCTAAACGTCTTCCTGACGACCGAAACGTGTGTTTTAGACATCATTATCACCCTTATGGACCACACCCACACCCACAAGACACACATTAATCATCATTCGACACCATCGACATCACTATCATCATCCTACAACCTCTTTAATATCACTATTATTATCCTAGAACATCAATCTAAGGGTGCTGGTAGAAAAGTAGTCAGTTGTTGATTTGACTCGCCTGGTGGCTTGGTTTACCTTGAGGGCTGACTCACCTGGTGGCTTGGTTTACCTTGAGGGCTGACTCACCTGGTGGCTTGGTTCACCTTGAGGACTGACTCACCTGGTGGCTTGGTTTACCTTGAGGGCTGACTCACCTGGTGGCTTGGTTCACCTTGAGGACTGACTCACCTGGTGGCTTGGTTTACCTTGAGGGCTGACTCACCTGGTGGCTTGGTTCACCTTGAGGACTGACTCACTTGGTGGCTTGGTTTACCTTGAGGGCTGACTCACCTGGTGGCTTGGTTTACCTTGAGGGCTGACTCACCTGGTGGCTTGGTTCACCTTGAGGGCTGACTCACCTGGTGGCTTGGTTTACCTTGAGGGCTGACTCACCTGGTGGCTTGGTTTACCTTGAGGGCTGACTCACCTGGTGGCTTGGTTTACCTTGAGGACTGACTCACCTGGTGGCTTGGTTTACCTTGAGGGCTGACTCACCTGGTGGCTTGGTTCACCTTGAGGACTGACTCACCTGGTGGCTTGGTTTACCTTGAGGGCTGACTCGCCTGGTGGCTTGGTTCACCTTGAGGATTGACTCACCTGGTGGCTTGGTTTACCTTGAGGGCTGACTCACCTGGTGGCTTGGTTTACCTTGAGGACTGACTCACCTGGTGGCTTGGTTTACCTTGAGGGCTGACTCACCTGGTGGCTTGGTTTACCTTGATGGCTGACTCACCTGGTGGCTTGGTTTACCTTGAGGGCTGACTCACCTGGTGGCTTGGTTCACCTTGAGGACTGACTCACCTGGTGGCTTGGTTCACCTTGAGGACTGACTCACCTGGTGGCTTGGTTCACCTTGAGGGCTGACTCACCTGGTGGCTTGGTTTACCTTGAGGGCTGACTCACCTGGTGGCTTGGTTTACCTTGAGGGCTGACTCACCTGGTGGCTTGGTTTACCTTGAGTGCTGACTCACCTGGTGGCTTGGTTTACCTTGAGGGCTGACTCACCTGGTGGCTTGGTTTACCTTGAGGACTGACTCACCTGGTGGCTTGGTTTACCTTGAGGACTGACTCACCTGGTGGCTTGGTTTACCTTGAGGGCTGACTCACCTGGTGGCTTGGTTTACCTTGAGGGCTGACTCACCTGGTGGCTTGGTTTACCTTGAGGACTGACTGACCTGCTGGCTTGACTGACCTGGGGTCTTGACTGATCCAGTGGCTTAACTGACTTGGTGGCTTAACTGACCTGGTATCTTGACTGACCTGATGGCTTGACTGACCTAGTGGGGAGGGCGTTGACGGTCCTGGAGTGCTCAGGCTTGGGGGAGACGGAGGTGGTGGGAGGCGTGTGTTGGGGCCAGTGGGTGTTCCAAGCCACAAGCCAGTCAGGGCGACCCGGACCACGCATCTCCAGCCTGACACATACACACAACACCTTCGTCAGTATACTCAATCCAGGGTGTATGTGTATGTGGTATACGTATGGGGGGAGCAAGTGAGGGAGTGTATGCATAAGTGAATCCCTGGAAACACAAACTGAAACTGTCTCTATTTTCCGCTTGTTACAACTTGTAATAAAGTTGTTACCTCTTAGCTTAACGTGTTTATAACGTATTAGAACGTTGTTACAACTTGCTATATTGGTTGTTATAACTGGTTAGGTGTTAAAACTTGTTCGAACGTTGTACCAACGTCGTAGTTTCGGTGTGTGTTTGGCGGGTTAAGGAACAAGAGGAGGCATATCCTTAACTCCTATGTTCTATATATAAACACATTCTATTTATATGAAATTGAATTTGAATATCAAATTGGTTACGGGAGACAAGGGGAATGAAATGCCAATATTATCAGAGCAAAAGAGCCAAGCCATTCCCTCCAAACACACACCGAAACTACGACGTTGGTACAACGTTCGAACAAGTTTTAACACCTCCTAACCAGTTACAACAACCAATATAGCAAGTTGTAACAACGTTCTAATACGTCATAAACACGTTAAGCCAAGATGTAACAACTTTATTACAAGTTGTAACAAGCGGAAAATAGAGACAGTTTCGGTTTGTGTTTCCAGGGTTACGACTATAGAGCACTTTGGAAGACAGAAGAGCAGTTGGCACCCACGTGATTAACGCAGACAGGTGGTTGACGGGGACGTGGAAGAGGAGGGTGTCTTGAGACGCACAAGCTGTCCCCAGCACCCTCTTGGAGTCCCGTTCCGTCGTCTCAAGGGTCAGATTCCAGGAGTTGCAGTTTCCTGTTGAAAGAGGAGGTCACTAGGGTCACTCATGGGTCACTGACGTAGGGATTAACATCACTATCATCATCCTACAACATCATCAACATGACTTATCATCATCCTACAGTACCATCATCATCCTACAACACTTATCATCATCATGCAACACTGTCATCATCCTACAGCACCATCAACATCACTATCATCATCCTACAACACCATCACTATCATCATCCCACAACACCATCATCATCACTATCATCATCCCACACCACCATCAACATCACTATCATCATCCCACACCACCATCATCATCACTATCATCATCCCACACCACCATCATCATCCCACACCACCATCATCATCACTATCATCATCCCACACCACCAACAACATCACTATCATCATCCCACACCACCAACAACATCACTATCATCATCCCACACCACCATCATCATCACTATCATCATCCCACAACACCATCATCATCCCACACCACCAACAACATCACTATCATCATCCCACACCACCAACAACATCACTATCATCATCCCACACCACCAACAACATCACTATCATCATCCCACACCACCATCATCATCACTATCATCATCCCACACCACCATCATCATCCCACACCACCACCATCATCATCCCACACCACCATCATCATCACTATCATCATCCCACACCACCATCATCATCACTATCATCATCCCACAACCCCATCATCATCACTATCATCATCCCACAACACCATCATCATCACTATCATCATCCCACAACACCATCATCATCACTATCATCATCCATCATCACCATCATCACACTCAACAGGGCTGAATAGTGTCAGTGACAAATCACATGAATAACGTTGCTGACTCAGTCATTAACTGGTGAACTATGCCATGTCATATATTATCGTTCAGTAAACAATGTCGGTGTGACGACGCCATTGACACAACAATATGAAATGGATTTCTTTTATTTTTGGAAAAGAGCTTCTGATTGCCTAATTATCGATACAATTTATTTATGAAATATTTTAAATATTAAGTATTATAAAATATAATAATATAAAATATAAGTAATATAATAATATAAATATAAGTAATATAAAATATTTTAATATTAAGATACAATTATGAAATATTTTAAGATTTGCAATTTATTGGGCCTTAGATATTTTAATTTTTTGTATTGTAGGCATTTATCAGACTATGGAGTTGTGTTGGTCTGGAGTGGCCTCTCTAGGGCGCAAAGCCTGGGTAGGTTGATACGTGGAGGAGAAGCTGTTACCCATGCAGCAGGTGCGCCGAAAGTCTCCGCTCCAAAGGCCAATACGATTGGTTCCAGCGCCGTGGCAGGAACTGTCAGAACGAGGATGAAAGCGACAACGAACTGTCCCTAGAGGTTCCAGTTCCGGAGTTAATTTGGCTTTTTGTAATAATTTGTAATAGGCTTTATATTATGGCAATTCTATAATTTTTTTAATTAATTTCTTTAAAGTACAGTATTTTGAAATCAGTGATGATGGATACTGTAGAATACATAATATGTTTTATTGAATATATAAATATTCTGAAGGCATATACACGAATACACAGCCATCTACCCACAATCACCATACATACACATACGTGTACGTAATGTATGTATAATGTATACATACATGCACGTAATTTATGTATAATCATAAAGCTGGATGTCCTACTAAGCCTATCATAGAAGTAGTCATTATATACAGGATCTTCATCTTCCTTTTAGTTCAAGTTCAAGTATGTTTATTGAGACAAAGAAATACATCTCAAAGGGATAGCGTAGCTTAGGCTATTTCTACCCGCCATCCTTTTTCTTTTGCGTATAAATCTTTCGACGAGTTAGAGGGGGAGTTACGGGGCTCACCATAGCCCGTGCTACATGGACACTTCATCCTGAGTAGCTAAATCTGAAACAACAACATAGAGGGGAGCGATAACTAACTTGTTTAGCGTGAGGGGGAGTTAGTGGTAGAATAAATATTGACTTCAGCGAGGCCAATAATAAACCTCTGGTTATCCGGAGGTTTATATTGTAAACACCGGATATATGGCTCCAACCTCTCCTCTTTAACACATACTACTTTTTTTGGGTTACGCTATTGACCCTATCGTGAAAATTGTGGTGGGTCACGGAAGTTTAAAATCGCCGCTAATGTTTCTTGGCTGTGGTGAATAATGTCTGAGGCTAGGTGAGTAGCCTAGGTTCTACTAGCCTAGGTGATTAGGTGTTCTACTAGCCTAGTCTAGGTGATTAGGTGTTCTACTAGCCTAGTCTAGGTGATTAGGTGTTCTACTAGCCTAGTCTAGGTGATTAGGTGTTCTACTAGCCTAGTCTAGGTGATTAGGTGTTCTACTAGCCTAGTCTAGGTGATTAGGTGTTCTACTAGCCTAGTCTAGGTGATTAGGTGTTCTACTAGCCTAGTCTAGGTGATTTGGTGTTCTACTAGCCTAGTCTAGGTGATTAGGTGTTCTACTAGCCTAGTCTAGGTGATTAGGTGTTCTACTAGCCTAGTCTAGGTGATTAGGTGTTCTACTAGCCTAGTCTAGGTGATTTGGTGTTTTACTAGCCTAGTCTAGGTGATTACGTGTTCTACTAGCCTAGTCTAGGTGATTAGGTCTTCTACTAGCCTAGGTGATTAGGTGTTCTACTAGCCTAGTCTAGGTGATTAGGTGTTCTACTAGCCTAGTCTAGGTGATTAGGTGTTCTACTAGCCTAGTCTAGGTGATTAGGTGTTCTACTAGCCTAGTCTAGGTGATTAGGTGTTCTACTAGCCTAGTCTAGGTGAGTAGCCTAGGTTCTACTAGCCTAGGTGATTAGGTGTTCTACTAGCCTAGTCTAGGTGATTAGGTGTTCTACTAGCCTAGTCTAGGTGATAAGGTGTTCTACTAGTCTAGTCTAGGTGATTAGGTGTTCTACTAGCCTAGTCTAGGTGATTAGGTGTTCTACTAGCCTAGTCTAGGTGAGTAGCCTAGGTTCTACTAGCCTAGGTGATTAGGTGTTCTACTAGCCTAGTCTAGGTGATTAGGTGTTCTACTAGCCTAGTCTAGGTGAGTAGCCTAGGTTCTACTAGCCTAGGTGATTAGGTGTTCTACTAGCCTAGTCTAGGTGATTTGGTGTTCTACTAGCCTAGTCTAGGTGATTAGGTGTTCTACTAGCCTAGTCTAGGTGATTAGGTGTTCTACTAGCCTAGTCTAGGTGATTAGGTGTTCTACTAGCCTAGTCTAGGTGATTAGGTGTTCTACTAGCCTAGTCTAGGTGATTAGGTGTTCTACTAGCCTAGTCTAGGTGAGTAGCCTAGGTTCTACTACCCTAGGTGATTAGGTGTTCTACTAGCCTAGTCTAGGTGATTTGGTGTTCTACTAGCCTAGTCTAGGTGATTAGGTGTTCTACTAGCCTAGTCTAGGTGATTAGGTGTTCTACTAGCCTAGTCTAGGTGATTACGCGTTCTACTAGCCTAGTCTAGGTGAGTAGCCTAGGTTCTACTAGCCTAGGTAATTAGGTGTTCTACTAGCCTAGTCTAGGTGATTACGTGTTCTACTAGCCTAGTCTAGGTGAGTAGCCTAGGTTCTACTAGCCTAGGTGATTAGGTGTTCTACTAGCCTAGGTAATTAGGTGATTAGGTGTTCTACTAGCCTAGGTAATTAGGTGATTAGGTGTTCAACTAGCCTAGTCTAGGTGATTAGGTGTTCTACTAGCCTAAGTAATTAGGTGTTCTACTAGCCTAGTCTAGGTGATTAGGTGTTCTACTAGCCTAGTCTAGGTGATTACGTGTTCTACTAGCCTAGTCTAGGTGAGTAGCCTAGGTTCTACTAGCCTAGGTGATTAGGTGTTCTACTAGCCTAGGTAATTAGGTGATTAGGTGTTCTACTAGCCTAGTCTAGGTGATTAGGTGTTCTACTAGCCTAGGTAATTAGGTGATTAGGTGTTCTACTAGCCTAGTCTAGGTGATTAGGTGTTCTACTAGCCTAGTCTAGGTGATTACGTGTTCTACTAGCCTAGTCTAGGTGATTAGGTGTTCTACTAGCCTAGTCTAGGTGATTAGGTGTTCTACTAGCCTAGTCTAGGTGATTAGGTGTTCTACTAGCCTAGTCTAGGTGATTAGGTGTTCTACTAGCCTAGTCTAGGTGATTAGGTGTTCTACTAGCCAAGCCTAGGTAATTTGGCGAAACAGCCGCGTTTTTTACGGAGTGGGTATGGAGGTATGGAGTCATTTGTATTACACAACCAATAGAACCTGAAACTCGTTTCTGGAAACTATTTTAGATAACTGTTTCGTAAGAAACAAGCGCGCACGCACGCGTACACACACACACACACACACATACACACACACACACACACACACACACACACACACACACACACACACACACACACACACACACACACACACACACACACACACACCATCACTCTCACCATCATATAAACATTTTTTCACAGGTGGGTACAGGAACAAAAGACTGCTGAATCCTGTCAGCAGGCTAAGAACTTTCCCGCCCCATAAATCGTTATCATTCCCGTCAATCGTTTAACTTGCAGGCACCCAATCACTGCTGGGTGAACAAAAGCGTACCGTTAAGGACTGGCGCCCAGTCAATCCTCTCAGACCATTCCATCCAGCGGTCCACCCCAAAGACACATTCATCAATTTTAACATGCTGTTCATTCAAATTAGAAATGTTCTCAAATATAAATTAATATTATTTTATATTAGCATATTGTATGTATTTAGGCATTGGTTAGGTGTTTAGGTTCCGTTGGCCATTATTTGTATTTGTAGTACGTGGGTGAAGCATTTACAGCGTTGTGGTTCGAACAAAATTTGTCAGTGAAGCACGTGTTCGGGAAGTGTTCGAACGTCAGCAGTTGTGAGCCGTGTGTAAACCGTTTTTCATTCATAAACAGGGGGTTTGGCGGGTGCATGGAATCACTTTTGGATCTTTGTTTGGAGGACGGGCTGTTTACAGCGTTGTGGTTCGAACAAAAGTCGTCAGTGAAGCACTTGTTCCGGAAGTGTTCGAACGTCATCAGTTGTGAGTCGTGTGTAAACCGTTTTTCATTCATAAACAGCTGGGGTTTGGCGGGTGGATGGAGTGGACTATGGCCTTAGTTTATGAGAACGGACTGTGCCACTGAGGACTCAAGCACTCACTCACTCACTCACTCACTCACTCACTCACCGTGTTTGGGCGGGGTGACGGTGATAGCGAGGGCAGAACCAGGCTGGCAGTTGATGACCCAATTACAAGTAACGAACAAGTAGGTGGTGATTGGCGCCGTGTAGCTCTTGGGCCCCAACTCTCCTGTCAACACAACACGGGTTAATAATACTCCCTACTCACCTTATTCATCCTACTCATCTTAATCAACTCAACCCGTCCTCTCACATTTGTTCCGGAATCGACCACTCCGTTAAAAAATGTGACGTATTATTTCAATTAAAGCACCGTAAAATTTACGTTTTCAATGCATCGTGCCTCGCGTTAGGTAAGGTGCTTGGGTAACCTCTTTTCTAGTTAGGTAAAACAGTTGCATTTTGTTACGGAGTGGCAGATGAAGAGAACGCCGGAGGCTTAACACAGGCTTAAGGTAACATCATTGACGCCAAATTAATTTGGGCTCAATTTAAAGATATGCAAATTGTATCCTTTATGTGTATCCTTTATGTGTATGTTTATGTGTATGTGTATGTGTGTGTGTGTGGTGTATAGCAAGGCGAACACAACGCACTTCTAAGTTCAAGTACGTTTATTGAGACAATGAAATACATCAGGATAGAGTAGCCTAGGCTATTTCAAGATAGAGTAGCCTAGGCTATTTCAAGATAGAGTAGCCTAGGCTATTTCTACCCTCCCTCTCCCCTGCACCTGTGGGTGTCTTGTGGTAGGTGGGTCCGCAGATGGTGGCTGGGAGGAAGGCGTACTCGAGGGAGAAGTTGAAGCCCTGAGAAGCCCAGGTGAAGTGGGAGACGTGGTAGATGATGTCCACTCCCCCTGCGGTGTCCACCGTCATCTCCTGCACCTCCTGTAGATGACAGGAAGACTCAGTGTTTCGGGTCTGAAGGCATACACACGAATTCACAGCCTTGTACCCACCATCACCATACATGCATACACATACGTGTACGTAATGTATGTATTAATGTATACATACATACACGTAATTTGCATAAACGTATAATGTATAAGTATACAGTATACTTATATACAATATAATGTATATAATATAATGTCTACAGGAAGTGTACAATAATAATACAGAGTATATATAATATACTCTGTATATTATATATATATATATATATATATAATATAATATAGTATATATACTATAGATTATATATATAGTAGAGTATATATATAATATACTCTATAGAAGCTTTGTATCAACAAATACATAAGCCGGAAAAAAATTTGGTTAATGATGGAAGATAGAATCGGGAACCGATGAAAGAAATTAGCAAAAGATATGAAGAAAGTATTAAAAGGTAATTATGAGAACGAAGCCTATCTGATTATAGAAAAGTTTATTACAAATGGGAGAAGAATGACAGAAATTCAGAACCAGGATATTGGTCGATTAGCCGTGACTGATCTAAATGCGGTGGGAGTTACTTAAGCAAGAGATTAATAGGTTTAGACACCCTAGGATTACTCGATTACTATTCTAGGCTTACTAGGCCAACATGGGGCTGAGTGAGGATTTGGTGGATGTGGATAAATTGGCGTCGTATTGCACAGTATTCAAAGGTGGCGTTAGTTCGACGTTAAATGAACGTTGTTACCGTTGATTGATCGTTGATAACGTTGATGAGAGGTTGAATAGCATAGTGGGCTAACTGAGGTACCACAACGTAGGAAGAAAATGAGACATTTGGTTATTGACGTTAATAACAGCACACGAGGCTAGCACCAAGAATCTTGACGAAATGCAAATATGTTCTTTGAAATGTTTTGAAAGGCGTTTCATGGGGAAATTACACAAGTACAAACGAAATAAAGATGATAAAGCAACGTAAGGGAAAGAAGGAAGGCGAAAAACGTAGGAATAGAGAAGAACTGGTGTATGTGAAGGGTTTATTATAATAAATATATAATATATACATATATTATGAAGCTGTATATCCAGCGCGGTCCGTTTTCTCTAATGACTGACGTGGCGTACCTTAAGCGACCTTGTGTTTACATCGCCAGTTTGGATGCGCCCGCAAGTGGTTCGGTCATTTATTTTACGCTTATTACCGTGGAGCTTTAGCCGCCCCCGCCTCGAACACGAGCGTAACGCCTTCCTAAAGTGGCAGCGGTGCCTCGGGTGTTATAGAGAGAGAGCCGGGAAGACAATAGAGGTAAAAATTTTGAGTTAATACTTAAGGATTGTTGGTGGGTATTCTTGACCTGAGAAGTGGCGCTTGGGTGGTGTGTGACTCCTTTAAGTGCTTCAAAGGTCATGAACGGCTGACATTTGATTTTTTTTTAATTTTGAAATTATTGTAGTTTTAAATTAAGATTATTGTCGATAAGAAAATAATTCGCATGAGGTTCTTGTTGATAAATCACTGTTTTGAGTGCTAAGGAAAGCGTATGGTGAAAGTTGAGAGGTGTCAACACTTCAAAAGCTATGTGTGTAAATCACGAAAAATAAACACGTGATTAAAAATGTTAGTGTCAGACCACGGAGGAAAATTTAAACAGGAATTTCCTTAAGTACTTTCGTATATTAATACATCTTCAGAAGGAGTCAAAAAGCTATGTTGGTGGGGACGGGGGTGGGGGGGGGGGGTTGTTAGTGCTATAAGTGTCATTGCAACTTGAAGACAATCAGTGATACAGTGAGCATATGCAAGCAAGATGAAAATAGAGTTGTGCCTCAACACTTACTTCACAGCTGTCTCAGGTTGGTACAACTCTATTGTACTTTTAATATATGCAACTACTGATATCTTTTCATTTCGTATCGTCCAATCACTTGGACTGGGCGGTAGAGCGACGGTCTGGCTTCTTGAAGGTCAGCGTTCAATCCCCGACCGTCCAAGGAGTTGGACATTGCAGGCGATGAGTCACAATAACGTGGCTAAAGTATGTTGACCAGACCACACACTAGAAGATGAAGGGACGACGACGTTTCGGTCCGTCCTGGACCATTCTAAAGTCGATTGTGTCTCAAGCCACAATCGACTTGAGAATGGATCAGGACGGACCGAAACGTCGTCGTCCCTTCACCTTCTAGTGTGTGGTCTGGTCAACAGTTGGACATTATTCATTTCCATCATTCTAACCGAAATTCTTATTCCCATGTCCCTTCCAAATGTCGTGTAGTCATAATGGCTTAGTGCTCTCTACTAATCATTACCTTACCTACATTTCACAAGCGTAATTTGGATTTGAATCATGTTATTGTGACCAATCCTCTACTACCCTTTGTAGTTAATGTGTATCGGACACAGTTTTTCGAGGAATTCATCTCCAGGATTGAATCTTATTGACCAATGAGATTAGAATTATATCATTTCGATTTAAATCCACGTTTCCAGGAACTCATTCCTGACGTAAATATAGGGATTACAATGCCCACACGACGGAGAAAACACAAAGCTTTTTTCCCTGCAATTGAACAAATCCCTGCAACCTGTAATATTTCCCCTGCAACACTGCCAAGGGTGGGGGGTGGTGGGGGAGACTTACCTTGATGGGGCCACAGTGGCAGGAGATAATCTTGTGGGTCTGAGTGTGGACAAAGAGAAGGTGATCGACGTGCTGCAGAGGCACCGTGGTTGGGTGGCACTGGCATCCTTCCTCCCCACACTGGGTCGAGCAGTGGCCCTCTGTGGCACTCAGACTCACCTCCCGTACCTGTGGGAGAATGATTAGCCCTCACAATAGCCTCATTATCATTTTCACTCATCTTGGATTTTTTTCGATGGCGAATGAGTCGAGTATTTTTATGTGGTTTATCCTCTCAAGATGAATTTCACAACAGCTGCCTAGCTCCCGGGTACCTATTCACTGCTAGGTGGACAGAGACATCAGGTGTAAGGAAATGTCTCTAAACGTCTCGCCTTACGTGAAATTTGAACTCGGATTTAACCTACTGTGAGCAGACTGTCTCAATTAATTAATGATATGAGTTATACACGAGGCTATTAATCCTCTTAGACCGGTTCAAGGAGCTTGTGCACTAATAGGCTGAAGGGTCAAATATGGCTGTTATAATTGCAAATGTTGTGACCACTTAAGTGAAGGAAAAACACACATTGTTTGTGTAATATTGACCAAGTATTATTGATATATCATGTGGTTATATACTAATTATGATGGGTGATTTAATTGTGAAATTAACCTTGAGATTTTTGTGACTGATGTTTATGGTGTCCAGCTGTTAAATGATAAGGACTGTACTCACATATATCGTGTAAACCAAATTGTGTATGTATTACTAATACATATATAAAAAAACATGGATATGTATATGTATATAGAGTATTGTTTGTACGATGTAAAAGTAGATAGAAGCCTAATTGCGTGTGTATAGTGTGTCTGTGTGTGTATGTGAGAGTGTACTCACCTAGTTGTGTCTGCAGGATCGAGCATTAACTCTTGGATCCCGCCTTTCGAGCATCGGTTGTCTACAGCAATGACTCCGGTCCTATTTCCCTATCATACCTGGTTTTAAAATTATGTGTGTGTGTGTGTGTGTGTGTGTGTGTGTGTGTGTGTGTGTGTGTGTGTGTGTGTGTGTGTGTGTGTGTGTGTGTGTGTGCTCATGAGAGAGAAGCACGCATTCTGGAGGGTTGTCTGGGGACCATTTTAGGTGTTTAAAGGTTGTGTGTGTGGGTAATATATATATATATATATATATATATATATATATATATATATATATATATATATATATATGTCGTACCTAATAGCCAGAACGCACTTCTCAGCCTACTATTCAAGGCCCGATTTGCCTAATAAGCCAAGTTTTCATGAATTAATGTTTTTTCGTCTACCTAACCTACCTAACCTAACCTAACCTAGCTTTTTTTGGCTACCTAACCTAACCTTACCTATAAATATAGGTTAGGTTAGGTTAGGTAGGGTTGGTTAGGTTCGGTCATATATCTACGTTAATTTTAACTCCAATAAAAAAAAATTGACCTCATACATAGAGAAAAGGGTTGCTTTATCATTTCATAAGAAAAAAATTATAGTAAATATATTAATTCAGGAAAACTTGGCTTATTAGGCAAATCGGGCCTTGAATAGTAGGCTGAGAAGTGAGTTCTGGCTACTAGGTACGACATATATATATATATATATATATATATATATATATATATATATATATATATATATATATATATATATATATATATATATATATATATATATATATAGACGCCAGGCGTCGTTAAAGTTGGCTCTGAGAGGCTTAAAGATGGCTGCATTGGGTCTTGGCGCTTTAAAAACAAAAATGACTCTCTTGAGGTTGTTATTGTTAAAGATTCGCTACCTGGAACATGCAGTTCCAAGTAGCACGGGCTATGGTGAGCCCGTAGGTCTTAATGTTTCGAGGCTTGACAATTGTCCCCCTCATTTCTTTCTGGAGGAGTTTAAAAAAATGTCCAATCATAGGTCCTAAGGTGTAAAAATGGCTGCTCTGGGCCTTTTAAGGTGTTAAACTAATCCATCTTAACTATCGTTCCTTCCCGGGCCCTTTTAAACCCGTATTAATGATGTAGTGAGGGTTTAAAGTCTTGTTTAAGTGAACTTTTGTCTGGAGGGGGTGAGGCAAGATCTAATATTATTATGAAAACAAAATCACCCACCTGGGACTGAGAGGAACCAGACGACCTTGAAGCAGGGGGGTGTGGGGGTGGGGGTGGGGGTTAGGGGGGTGTGGGAGGGTGGGTGTGGGGGGGTGTGGGGGGGTCTAGAACGTGTACTGGCATGTTCATTGTGACGTCATAGTGACGTCACACACCTTGTTCACACCATGTATAGAACATTGAGTGTAATCTTATTTTCGTTGGGTTGGGTTGAGTTAGGTTAGGTTAGGGTAGGCTGGGTTTAGTTTAGTTAAGTATGGGTAGTTATGAACAAATCCACAAGGGCCGTGACGAGGATTCGAACCTGCGTCCCGGAGCATCCCAGACACTGCCTTAATCGACTGAGCTACGACAGGGTTAAAAGGGTTGAAACCGAAGTTCTACTGAATAAAGGACCAGCAGCAGAAGGTCTATTGGCTGCCATACGAGGCAGCTCCTATTGGTTCATACGCTGGGTTGTTTGAGGGGGTAGGGTAGGCCTATATATGAATAGGCTATGGGTAGTTATCTTTGATTACAGAGCAGTGATACCGTGTAGGAGCACATACTCTTCTTACGTTTCAGATGTTGTTGTTGTTATAGATTCAACTACTCGGAACAAGTTCCAAGTAGCACGGGCTATGGTGAGCCCGTAACTTACCTGGCACAGGAGCGGGGCAAGTAGCACGGGCTATGGCGAGCCCGTAGTGGACTTACCTGGCACAAGAGCGCCACGTTTCAGAGCCTACTGCCCTTTAAGGTCAGTGACCTACTGGTGGAGGTCACTGACCCCACTCCTACCCTCCCCAGTGCTGGGTCAAGCACGCGTCACCTCATGTATAACCTTCCATTTGTGTTTTAATTGGTCAGTCAATCCGTTAAAGCAGCGACGCATCAGCCCAAAAAAAAACGTAATATTGACGTTTTCAATACATCGGCCACAATGGGATAGGTGGGTTGCTTAGGTTAGGGGGAAACAGTTGCATTTTTAACGGAGTGGCAAAAGGACAGACCTCTCCCTTGGCCATGATGCATCTTATTCTTCGGATTCATTGGTGACAGCGCAGTATTGGTCCATACTGCCAGTATGGACCAATAGGAGCTGCCTCGTGTGGACCAATAGGAGCTGCCTCCTATGGGCCAATAGGAGCTGCCTCGTGTGGACCAATGGGAGCTGCCTCCTATGGGCCAATAGGAGCTGCCTCGTATGGTCCAATAGGAGCTGCCTCGTATGGACCAATGGGAGCTGCCTCCTATGGGCCAATAGGAGCTGCCTCGTGTGGACCAATGGGAGCTGCCTCCTATGGTCCAATAGGAGCTGCCTCGTGTGGACCAATGGGAGCTGCCTCCTATGGGCCAATAGGAGCTGCCTCGTGTGGACCAATGGGAGCTGCCTCCTATGGGCCAATAGGAGCTGCCTCGTGTGGACCAATGGGAGCTGCCTCCTATGGGCCAATAGGAGCTGCCTCGTGTGGACCAATGGGAGCTGCCTCCTATGGGCCAATAGGAGCTGCCTCGTGTGGACCAATAGGAGCTGCCTCGTATGGACCAATAGGAGCTGCCTCGTATGGACCAATAGGAGCTGCCTCGTATGGACCAATAGGCCTTCTGCTGCTTGTCCATTATTCTTAGGTTACATCAAGGTAAGAAAGATGCACATGGGGAGCGTCTTCCTTGCCCTGTTTCCTTTCTGCCTACCTAATCTCTTCACATTTTTGTCGTCATCCCCCTTCCTTTGTTTGTCTTTCTTCTTTGTATCCATAAACTCCACTTCTGAAGTTATTTTGACTGGCGCCACTGTGTGTGTGTGTGTGTGTGTGTGTGTGTGTGTGTGTGTGTGTGTGTGTGTGTGTGTGTGTGTGTGTGTGTGTGTCTACCAGGTCAGCTGAAAATGGTGCTAACCCACCCCCCAAACCCCCCCCTTTATTAGTATGCACTATATACGCCTGAGGTGGCTAGGTATACCTGTTACGGGTTATTCATGCCCGTGCCACCTCTCGGGTGGCTTACTCTTCATCAATCAATCAATCAATCAATCAGGTGTACGTGTGTGTGTCTGTGTGTACTGGCGGCGCTGGTATAGCTCTGTAGTGCCGTGCAATACGTTGCGGCTCTCTAACAGACGGTTAGCTCTAACGGACGGGTTACCGCTAACGGACGGGTTACCGCTAACGGACGGGTTACCGCTAACAAACGGGTTACCGCTAACGGACGGGTTACCGCTAACGGACGGGTTACCGCTAACGGACGGGTTACCGCTAACAAACGGGTTACCGCTAACAAACGGGTTACCGCTAACAAACGGGTTACCGCTAACAAACGGGTTACCGCTAACAAACGGGTTACCGCTAACGGACGGGTTACCGCTAACAAACGGGTTACCGCTAACGGACGGGTTACCGCTAACAAACGGGTTACCGCTAACAAACGGGTTACCGCTAACGGACGGGTTACCGCTAACAAACGGGTTACCGCTAACGGACGGGTTACCGCTAACAAACGGGTTACCGCTAACGGACGGGTTACCGCTAACGGACGGGTTACCGCTAACGGACGGGTTACCGCTAACAGACGGGTTACCGCTAACGGACGGGTTACCGCTAACGGACGGGTTACGGGTGAGAGCCTAATGCCACTATTGGACGGTAGAGTGTTGTGTTTAAAATGATTGGCGTTGTGGGCGGCGAGCGTAAAGGACTGTGAGCTCTAAGACTTTGTTTGTCTTACGCTCCAATAACCTTTTAGCGGAAGGGAAATCCGCAAGCAGGAAAATCTTCTTCTCAGTGGAATTTTTTTCCTCGGGTTGGTTGGGAAGGGTTCAACGGTTGTCTTGCGTCATCTTCTGGGTAATATAACAGACTTGGAAATCGCTGGGTTGAGTGGGTAGGGTAGGCCTATATATGAATGAGTTTGGGTGATTAGAAGCTGCCTCGTATGGGCCAATAGGAGCTGCCTCGTATAGGCCAATAGGAGCTGCCTCGTATGGGCCAATATGAGCTGCCTCGTATAGGCCAATAGGAGCTGCCTCGTATGGGCCAATAGGAGCTGCCTCGTATAGGCCAATAGGAGCTGCCTCGTATGGGCCAATATGAGCTGCCTCGTATAGGCCAATAGGAGCTGCCTCGTATGGGCCAATAGGAGCTGCCTCGTATAGGCCAATAGGAGCTGCCTCGTATGGGCCAATATGAGCTGCCTCGTATAGGCCAATAGGAGCTGCCTCGTATAGGCCAATAGGAGCTGCCTCGTATGGGCCAATATGAGCTGCCTCGTATAGGCCAATAGGAGCTGCCTCGTATAGGCCAATAGGAGCTGCCTCGTATAGGCCAATAGGAGCTGCCTCGTATGGGCCAATAGGCCTTCTGCAGTTACCTTTGTTCTTATGTTCTTATGTTAAGAACATCAGAACTTTACATTTATGTTGATAGAGCGCCTGCCTCCCCATGCTGGAGGTCGGGTGTTCGAGCCTCCTAGTGCCCAAGGTGAAGGCAATGTTACGTCCACAGTAGTGCGATATACATTTTATATGTATTATGACAATGTCAGACCACGGAGGAAAAATGAAACAGGAAATTTCCTTAAGTACTTTCGTATATTAAATACATCTTCAGAAGGTGTATTTAATATACGAAAGTACTTAAGGAAATTTCCTGTTTCATTTTTCCTCCGTGGTCTGACATTGTCACATTCTTAATCACGTGTTTATTTTCGTGATATACACACATATATGTATTATATACAACTTATATACAACTCGGGCAGCAAAAAACTACAGTCACTCGACAAAAAACATACTGGCAATGGGCCAGTATGTAAATAATTCAGCCACGACATAGTGCCTCGCTTCATGCAGGTCGGCGTTCGATCCCCAACGGTCCAAGGGATTGGTCATCCTTTCTTCCAGCCGTCTAGTGTTGTTATGGTCGTCCTGATGACTTAGTGCTCGCTGCTAATTGGCTCTCCCACCTCAGAAAGACGACAGTGTTGCCCAATCAGGGCCGTGGATGCAGCTTAAAGATTTGTTTGTGTAGTAAGGGGTAAAAGCGTTGTGTGTAACCGCTTTGTATAGTTTCTATGTCAAGTGTGTGTATAATGTGGTGGGTAAATACTGGAGGGGTATTCAATGCGTGCGCGCGCGCACGCGCGTGTGTGTGTGTGTGTGTGTACTCCCCTAGTTGTGCTTGCGGGGGTTGAGCTTTGTCTCTTTGGTGTGTGTGTGTGTGTAGTAACGAGAAAGAGAAATATCAGGGGAAAAGCGCCAAGCCATTACGACTATATAGCACTGGGAAAGGGGTCAGGATAAGGATTTGGGATGGGACACGGAAGGAAAGAAACAGTGCCCAACCACTTGTGGACGGTCGGGGGGAATTGAACGCCGACCTGCAGGAAGCGAGACCGTCGCTCTACCGTCCCTCCTCCCCGAGTGGTTGGACTAACGAGTGTGACTTAGTACTCACCATCAGTGAAGATGTGAGTGAGTGTGACTTAGTACTCACCATCAGTGAAGATGTGAGTGAGTGTGACTTAGTACTCACCATCAGTGAAGATGTGAGTGAGTGTGACTTAGTACTCACCATCAGTGAGGATGTGAGTGAGTGTGACTTAGTACTCACCATTAGTGAGGATGTGAGTGAGTGTGGAGGGCACTCACCGTGAGTGAGAGCGACTGGGCACTCACCGTGAGTGAGAGCGACTGGGCACTCACCGTGAGTGAGAGCGACTGGGAGGCCGTAGGAACGAACAAGTAGCTACAGTTAAGTTGACCCTCCACGTTCCAGAGGAGGGTAGTGGAGGGGTGGGTGACGTAGCCGTGTCTGGGGCTGGCGGCCCCATAGAACATCACGTCACAGACGCTGGTCGGCTTCTTGGTGCCCTCTACGCGTGCTGCAGAGACGGGGACAGAGAAGAGGTTTCTATGCAGGCGAGGAGTCACAATAACGTGGCTGAAGTATGTTGACCAGACCACACACTAGAAGGTGAAGGGACGACGACGTTTCAGTCCGTCCTGGATCATTTTCAATCGACTTGAGAATGGCCCAGGACGCTTTTATGACTAACTTGTAGTTCGTAAGATAAGTTCAAGTCGTTTGAGAATGGTCCTGGATCATTCTCAATCGACTTGAGAATGGTCCAGGACGCTTTTATGACTAACTTGTAGTTCGAAAGATAAGTTCAAGTCGATTGAGAATAGTCCTGGACCATTCTCAATCGACTTGAGAATGGTCCAGGACGGACCGAAGCGTCGTCGTCGTCCCTTCACCTTCTAGTGTGTGTGGTCTGGTCAATAAGAGGTTTCTATGTTACACACTATTCCATCCGTCAAACTTCCTGTATTCCATCAAGTCTCTATCTCCATTTCCCACTCCATAAAAAAAAAATTCCCTAACCATTATGGCACTCAAGTAACCCATTCAATTTATCAACTCTGAGGCATAGAAAAATCGTCACTATTACGATGCTTTAATATTTAATCGTACGTCGTATTATCAACGGATTGGTAACTTCCGTTAAAAAAATATAACTTATTAAGTCTCATTTTTTTTGTAAGGAATTGACTCATCCGTATAAAATTCGACGTACAAGTAAAACTTAAAAAAAAATTAAAGCAAACATAATATTACACGTTTTCTATGCATCGGCCTCGATAGGTTAGGGAGGTTGTTGGGGTTCGTACGTTTGTGGTTAGGCAAAATAGTTGCATTTTTTACGGAGTGACGAATGGAGAGAGAGACATTCACGAACTGCAAAAATCTCCCGAATTAAAAACTGACAGACTGCAAAAATCTTACGAACTACAAAAAATCTTACAAACTCCAACAAATCTTACGAACTACAAAAAATCTTACGAACTACAAAAAAACTTACGAACTACAAAAATCTTACGAACTACACAAAATCTTACGAAGTACAAAAAGAATCTTACGAACTACAAAAAATCTTACGAACTACACAAAATCTTACGAAGTACAAAAAGAATCTTACGAACTACAAAAAATCTTACGAACTCCAAAAAATCTTACGAACTCCAAAAAATCCTACGAACTACAAAAAAATCTTACGAACTCCAAAAAAATCTTACGAACTACAAAAAAATCTTACGAACTACAAAAAATCTTACGAACTCCAAAAAAATCTTACGAACTACAAAAAATCTTACGAACTACAAAAAAATCTTACGAACTCCAAAAAATCTTACGAACTACAGAAGCAGCGCAGGAACCACACAACAGTCACTCACAGTTATGGAAGTAGTATCCACCGACCAGGAACTGGTTGAGGAAATTAGTGCCCGGCGCCAGCTTGAGTTCGACCTCCATGGTGTTGGAGGAGGAGAGGAAGAAGACCTGCTGCAGGAACCTGCCAGAGTTGCCCCGCGGTTCCCGGGACACCGGGCCGCACAGCTTCCGCAGGAGGTTGTCCCGTCCTTCTCTGTTTAGTCCGTCGTATATGGAAGCCTCTGAGGAACACGATCTGCCCCTGGAAGGAAGGTTAGGTTAGGGAAGGTTAGGTTAGGACTCGTCTCTGTGTGCTTACATGGAGGCAGGCCCAGGCGCTAGAGCCCCCAATATCACACACACACACACGTAGGGAGCCGGCGGCCGAGCGGACAGCACGCTGGTCACGTAATCCCGTGGTCCGGGGCTCGATTTCAGGCGCCGGCGGGAAACGATGGGCAGAGTTTCTTTCACCCTATGCCCCCTGTTATCTAGCAGTAAATAGGTACGTGGGAGTTAGTCAGCTGTCACGGGCTGCTTCCTGGTGTGTGTGTGTGGAGTGGAAAAAAATAGTAGTAGTAGAAACAGTTGATTGACAGTTGAGAGGCGGACCGAAAGAACAGAGCTCATCCCCTTGCAAGCACAACTAGGTGAATACAACTAGGTGAATACAACCAGGTGAATACAACTAGGTGAATACAACTAGGTGGATACAACTAGGTGAATACAACTAGGTGAATACAACTAGGTGGATACAACTAGGCGAATACAACTAGGTGAATACAACTAGGTGAATACAACTAGGTGGATACAACTAGGTGAATACAACTAAGTGAGTACAACTAGGTGGATACAACTAGGTGAATACAACCAGGTGAATACAACTAGGTGAATACAACTAGGCGAATACAACCAGGTGAATACAACTAGGTGAATACAACTAGGTGAATACAATAGGTGAATACAATAGGTGAATACAACTAGGTGAATATACACCCACACTGTAACGTGATTCGGTTTTCAAATCTGATAGGCTCTCAGGTGTTCAATGGGGGGTTGTGCAATTGCAATGCCTGTGACAAACCTATTTTATTTCCGTGTATTGAAACTGCCGCTTTTTGTCAGTGAAAATCACCGCTGCTCACGACTTTTTTTTTTTACCACTACACGTTTATAGAAACCGGGGAGAATAATTTGTTTTAAATAATCGCTATTAAATATAATAAATAATCTGTTAAATAATTAAATAATCTATTAAATAATTAAATAATCTATTAAATAATTAAATAATCTATTAAATAATTAAATAATCTATTAAATAATTAAATAATCTATTAAATAATTAAATAATCTATTAAATAATTAAATAATCTATTAAATAATTAAATAATCTATTAAATAATTAAATAATCGCTTGATGATTTAAGGGACAAGTTGAAAAATATTACTTATAAGGAAAGATAATAATAATCATATAGTTATTAACGGTAGTGTTAATAATTATGTCATTATATGTTAACTACCACCACTACCACCACCACTACCACTATTTCTACTACTATAAAAACTCATACAGATGCTATTATAACTACTTACTACTTAGACTACATCTAGAACTATTGATAGCAAATACTACTATTACTACAACCATTCAGAGGCTACCAGCCCTGGATGGTGTATTGGTTAAGTCTGTGAGTGGTAGTGGTTGGATAAGTCTGTGAGTGGTAGTGGTTGGATAAGTTCATGAGTGATTGTGGTTTGGTTAAGTCTGTGAGTGATAGTGGTTGGATAAGTATGTGAGTGGTAGTGGTTGGATAAGTCCGTGAGTGATAGTGGTTGGATAAGTCCGTGAGTGATAGTGGTTGGGTGTAATAGGAGCTACCACGTGTGGATCAATAAACCTGTTGATTTCTCAATTCTCACGTTCCTATTTATCACAGCAACCTATGCTGCTTACACTCCAACTATCACCACCACCACTACCACCATTACCATCTACTACTACTACTATCAACTACTATCTACAACTATTTACATTAATAAAACGTTTACCACCGTTAAAAGACCCACACACACATTGATATGGAAATAATATTGAAATTCAACGGCAGATTCTCATCTTTTTATTTATAGGTTTATGAAATGAATTTATTTTTAATATATTTTAAAAAGCACTTCGCAATGGAAGTTTTCGAAGCGCTTCTGTTTCGTCAGCTTATTAATGCGTTTTCAAAGTGAATTGATTCGTTGTTCAAATGTCATTTATAGCAAATGTCTGCGATGTATGTTTTATATATATATATATATATATATATATATATATATATATATATATATATATATATATATGTTTGTAATGAGCTGGCTTCTCAACAAGGGTATCTCCTGCCTTGCTAGTCTCGTGTTTCGTTTCGTATTAAACGAACGAGATGAGAGGGAGAGAGAGAGAGAGAGAGAGAGAGAGAGAGAGAGAGAGAGAGAGAGAGAGAGAGAGAGAGAGAGAGAAAGGGGCCTTTATTGCTGTGAAAATTAAACTAAACCCCCCAATTCCCCCCCCCCCCTCACGCACACCCGTAACAATAATCCACTTTCCCTCCACACCTGCTGCTATAACAACCCTCCACTCTCCACACACCTGTAACAACCGTGAACTACTTGCCCCACACACCTGAGACTAGTCATAACTGTCCCCCCTCTCTCCAGTCAGGTCTGTCGTCGCGTGTCAGGTTTGTACTGGAATAAAGACCACATCTGCCTAGTTTCCGGCTTCTTGGTTTCATTAAATTTATCAACATATTCCCCCTTCCACTCTCTCTCTCTCTCTCTCTCTCTCTCTCTCTCTCTCTCTCTCTCTCTCTCTCTCTCTTATCCACTCCTAGAACCCCCTTCCAGAACCCCCCTCTCCCCTCCACCAGAAACCCTTCTCCACCAAAACCAAAGAAACACCCCTACAGATCCCCCCCTTTTCGTCGGCACCCCCCCCCCCCGAGATAAGTGAGAGAGGAGAGAGAGAGAGAGAGAGGAGAGAGAAGAGAGAGAGAGAGAGAGAGAGAGAGAGAGAGAGAGAGAGAGAGAGAGAGAGAGAGAGGAAGGAGAAGGGATTAGTGGGCAGCTGGACCTCTCCAAGAGTGGTGCCCGTACCAAAACACAGCCAGATATTTTGGTTAATGTTAACAATGTTAATAAAGTTAATAATAATGTTAATAAGGGAGGAGAGGGAACGGTAGGAAGAGAGCCAAGAGCCAGTGTTGTGGCGAGGAGAGGAGCCTACACACCTGCCTTCTCAGCCTACACACCTGCCGTCTCAGCCTACACACCTGCCTTCTTTTCCTCCTTCACAGCATCCGTGTCTTCCAGCACGTTAATTGGGCTCTGATCTACGGCCAGATTTCTCTAAATCTAAATACTAAATCTACGTCCATTGATGACGCAATCCCGGGGGGGGGGAGGGGGGGGAGGCGGAGGGAGGGGGGGGGGAGGGGGGGGTTGAGCAATTATAGAAGTGAAACTAGTTGCACTCTAATTGTTGTAAAAACTTTTCGCCCTTTTTTTTTAAGTCGTCTTAAGGACGAATTTTCAACAGCACTATTTCCAAGAGATTCCTTGTAAGATGTGCCTGGTGATCATTATTTTTATTTTCGAACGTTCACAATTGTTTGAGAAATGTGTTGGTGATGTTCGACGTCCAGTTTTATATAAAAATGTCCGAGAATCTTCTCTGAATTCTGACAAAAGCATAACATTTTTCATGACCTTTGAAAACGTTCTCGCTGACCCCTAAGACTTTTTTCTTCAGTTCCCTGACCTTTGAAAAAGTTCTTGTCACCCCCCAAGACTTTTTCTTCAGTTCCCTGACCTTTGAAAAAGTTCTTGTCACCCCCCAAGACTTTTTCTTCAGTTCCCTGACCTTTGAAAAAGTTCTCACTGACCTCCAAGATTTTTTCTTCAGTTCCCTGACCTTTGAAAAAGTTCTCGCTGACCCCTAAGACTTTTTTCTTCAGTTCCCTGACCTTTGAAAAAGTTCTCGCTGACCCCCAAGACTTTTTCTTCAGTTCCCTGACCTTTGAAAAAGTGATCGTCATCCCCAATGACTTTCTCTTCAGTTTTGCGTTTCTTGAACTTCGAGTTTCACGGAGGATTTTCCCTCGACTTGTTTCTGGGGTGGTGTGTGGATTTACTATATGCGCCTGTAGAATCGAGCTATTAGCTCTTGGACCCCGCCTTTTTTATTAACCAACGTATTTTCCTCTATTATGTCTACTATATATATCTTATAACACACACACACACACACACACACACACACACACACACACACACACACACACACACACACACACACACACACACACACACACACATACACGCACACACACACATCCCGAGGAAGCAGCCCGTATCAGCTGTCTAACTCTCAGGTACCTATTTACTGCTAGGCGAACAAGACCAATCAAGGTGAAAGAAACTGATCCATTTGTTTCTGCCTCGGCTGGGAATCGAACCCTGTGTGAACTGTGTGTGTGTGTGTGTGTGTTGGGGGTGCATAGCTCTGTGATTTGGTGAATTTTTCCGTATCCCAAACTGGCAAAAAACGCATCATAAGATTATATGTCAAATCTTTGACAGCCTTAAAAATAATGTGTAAATAGAGAATCTGATTTGTCTTTCACACACTTGTAAATCTGAGAATTAAAATGTAAACATAATATGAACAAATCCACAAGGGCCGTGACGAGGATTCGAACCTACGTCCGAGAGTATCCCAGACGCTGCCTTAATCGACAGAGCTGCCATTATCCTCGGACGTAGGTTCGAATCCTCGTCACGGCCCTTGTGGCTTTGTTCATTTGATGCCTCACGCTATTGTGATTTCTGTGTGGAAACATAATATGTTTAGTCCTTCCTCACAGACGTAAGCCTTCAGACTTTGCAGTTCAGGCTTTCTCCTCCAGACAGCTGTGATCTCCTAACTCAGAAAGCACTGTTTGCCGGGCTTAAGTTTAGCGTCAGGCGTATATTTCCCCTTTGCGTAATGCGTATCCAAGTGTGCATCCTTGCAATTTGCAGTGATATATGCTGAAATAAATACCTTCTGGATCCGAGTGGTATCCACTAGTTACATTCACTGTTTGGATGTCACTGCGTACTCCTTTATACTCTAGAGTGAGTTTACGATAATTGTGCAACGATGCTGAAGGCCCGTTTCCGTTGCAGTCATGCACATGGCCTCCTGTTTGACTTCTGTTGGAGGCTTACTGTTGCATACTTGCAGGAAGCTTCCTCTTACACACGTGAAAACGGCTGAAGGGTTACGTCTGTAATATGTATATCATATTCATGTATCATATTCATATTCATGTATCATATTCATATTCGTGTATCATATTCACGAAGAATTTGTTTGGGTTATCAATCTTTAGTCCGTTCAGGGGGTTCAGTGAAAATTGAATCATTCTACATCTTCAGTGAAAATTGAATCATTCTGCATCTTCAGTGAAAATGTAATCATTCTACATCTTCAATGTAAATAGAATTATTCTACATCTTCAGTGAAAATAGAATCTTTCTGCATCTTCAGTGAAAATTGAATCATTCTTCATCTTCAGTGAAAATTGAATCATTCTACATCTTCAGTGAAAATAGAATCAGTCTACATCTTCAGTATTTCCACTCATGTCTTCGTGGTCATCTGTGAAAGTTCCATCTGCCTTGCCCAGGGGTTCAATGTTAAATGTAGATTTTGTGCTTGAGTTCATCTAAGAAAAAAAAGGTATTCAGGATTCCTCTCTATTTCAGAGATGGTCTTTTGTCTCTCCTGGTTTTTATAAGATTTTTTGTTTAGCTTTAAGTCTACATATTCTTAGAAGTCTACATATTCTTAGATGTCTTTGTAGGATGTGGTGTTGTTCTACGATTTGTGTTCTTCGCTTGTAGAGAGAGAGAGAGAGAGAGAACATTGTTCTTGCTCCAATATGCATCTTTTCTCTCTCTCTCTCTCTCTCTCTCTCTCTCTCTCTCTCTCTCTCTCTCTCTCTCTCTCTCTCTCTCTCTCTCTCTCTCTCTCTCTCTCTCTCTCTCTCTCTCTCTCTCTTTTTCAGTGCTACTGAGCCTGTTTTCTCGAAGCACTGATTTAGGTTTGCATTTTTAAGCTGTTCTTTGAAGTTTATTCTTGTGACGTCTTTGTTTGTTAGTTGTGTGTTTGTTAACTTTGAATTTGTTGAATTATCTTCCTCTTGAATTTGTAACTGGCTGCGCAGGTCTTGTACCCACTCTGTTGTTCAGCCTAATTTGTTACTCACTCACTCTAATTTGCAGTATATTCAGTCTAAATTCTAACCTGCTTTCTAACATTGAATATTAAATCTAATTCCACAGAACTCTCCTTTTTTTCCTAAAATTTCGACACCCTCGTCCCAATTTGAGATCTTCTCACCCTAATTTGAGATCTACTCACCCCAATTTGAGATCAATTCACCCCTAATTTGAGATCCATTCACCTCAATTTGAGATCCACTCACCCCAACTTAAGATCCACTCACCCCAACTTAAGATTCCACTCACCCCTAATTTAAGATCCACTCACCTCAATTCAAGATCCACTCACCTCAATTTAAGATCCACTCACCCCCAATTTAAGATCCACTCACCTCAATTCAAGATCCACTCACCTCAATTTAAGATCCACTCACCCCAACTTAAGATCCACTCACCCCAACTTAAGATCCACTCACCCTAATTTGTACTTGAAGAGAGAGATCTGAATGACCTCGTCCGGATTACCGATGAAGCGAACACAGCACCGCTGACTGCCAGGGCACAGGGCTGAGGTGTCGAAAATGCCGTCCCTTGTTTGGTTGCTCCAGTACACCCGCTGGCATTCTGTCCCCACCGTGTGCCCTGTCGGGTCGCCTGCAGAGATTATTTTGGATTATTAATACACCTAGTTACCAGGTAATATATACAGCTGCCTTAGACTATATGAAGGGTTATATAGTTGTCAAGAGCCAGGTGTGTGATACTAAGGTACCTGGACATTTATATAGCTGGCCTAGACTATATGAAGGGTTATATAGTATGTCAAGAGCCAGGTGTGTGATACTAAGGTACCTGGACATTTATACACCTGCCCTAGACTATATGTGTTATATAGTGTGTGTCAAGAGCCAGGTGTGTGATACTAAGGTACCTGGACATTTATACACCTGCCCTAGACTATATGTGTTATATAGTGTGTGTCAAGAGCCAGGTGTGTGGTATTAAGGTACCTGTACATTTATACAGCTGCCCTAGACTATATGTGTTATATAGTGTGTGTCAAGAGCCAGCTGTGTGATACTAAGGTACCTGGACATTTATACAGTTGCCCTAGACTATATGAAGGGTTACACAGTGTGTGTCAAGAGCCAGGTGTGTGATACTAAGGTACCTGGACATTTATACAGTTGCCCTAGACTATATGAAGGGTTACACAGTGTGTGTCAAGAGCCAGGTGTGTGGTATTAAGGTAGATATACTAAAGTGAAGACATGGGACCGAGAGCAATCAACCCAAATATGGAATAAGTGACAGGTATTGTGTGGATCTACACCTGAACATTTCTATTTTACCTAATTCAATGTTGTACTTTGCTGATCAAGACTTTATAGATATTTACACTACAAAACCCAGGCACTCAATAAGCATTTCTCTAACGCCCTAAAATTTTTCTGTCCATTCACAGGTCGGGAGCTGATGAAGCACAAGTCTCGCTCAGGTAAGAACATTTTTTTTTGGGAAGCAACGATGCTCTGATGAATGTTTCAGTGCACCTGTGTCCTTCCTCTCTCTCTCTCTCTCTCTCTCTCTCTCTCTCTCTCTCTCTCTCTCTCTCTCTCTCTCTCTCTCTCTCTCTCTCTCTCTCTCTCTCTCTCTCTCTCTCTCTCTCTCTCTCTCTCTCTCTCTCTCTCTCTCTCCCTCTCTCCCTCTCTCCCTCTCTCCCTCTCTCCCCCTCCGCCATGACAGATCCTTCCCTCAATAAAACGATATCTAAATTTTTTATATACAAAACGCAGAGCGAAGCGAAACTTTCCTATTTTTTTTCAATCATCTAAAACGTGTGTGTTTCGTGTTTTCGTCGAGACAGTTGTTGTTGAACTTTTGTGTCTTGGAGAGTAAATTATATATATATATATATATATATATATATATATATATATATATATATATATATATATATATATATATATATATATGTCGTACCTAGTAGCCAGAACGCACTTCTTAGCCTACTATGCAAGGCCCGATTTGCCTAATAAGCCAAGTTTTCATGAATTAATTGTTTTTCGACTACCTAACCTACCTAACCTAACCTAACCTAACTTTTTCAGCTACCTAACCTAACCTAACCTATAAAGATAGGTTAGGTTAGGTTAGGTAGGGTTGGTTAGGTTCGGTCATATATCTACGTTAATTTTAACTCCAATAAAAAAAATTGACTTCATACATAATGAAATGGGAAGCTTTACCATTTCATAAGAAAAAAATAGAGAAAATATATTAATTCAGGAAAACTTTCCTTATTAGGCAAATCGGGCCTTGCATAGTAGGCTGAGAAGTGAGTTCTGGCTACTAGGTACGACATATATATATATATATATATATATCAATATATATATATATATATATATATATATATATATATATATATATATATATATATATATATATATATTAAATGGTGGTTCGAAACTTTCTTCGGTCTTCAGTATTTCCGGGAAGAAGACCTGGCTGATAGAGAACCGGCTTCATATTTTTGCGGGCTTGAGTTCAATCCCCGATTATTCAAGAGAAGGAAATATATTACCTACGGTATTGTTGGGTAATGAGGTACTTCTAAGATCCTTATGAGCATCGACGGCTTGATTGGTAGGATTATGGTCTTATATATATATTTTTTTTTTGGGGGGGGGGGGGAGCAAGTTCGAATTCTGGATGTTCCTGTTTAATGATATGGTACTATTTTCCACGATTTTGTATGTATATGTATATATATATATATATATATATATATATATATATATATATATATATATATATATATATATATATATATATATATATATATATATATATATATATGCAATTGACGATCACAAAACACTGATCATTTTATGCGGAAAATCCACAGAGAAATATGAAATGAGGTGAACGTTTCGGCTTTGTTAAAGCCTTTGTCAACACCAGACTGAGTCAGAATATATATTCATATATATATGAATGAAAACTCACACCCCAGAAGTGACTCGAACCCATACTCCCAGGAGCAACGCAACTGGTAACTACAGGGCGCCTTAATCCACTTGACCATCACGGCCGTCAAAGGAAGTGATAGCCGAGGCTATTTGAGCCACTTTCCCGACGGCAACTCGGATGGTAATTTTGGGCATAGCATTTCACCAAATCACCTCATTCTTTGGGGCACACGTGAGGAACACAAATGCGAACAAGCCTGAATGGTCCCCAGGACTATATGCGAATGAAAACTCACACCCCAGAAGTGCTCCTGGGAGTATGGGTTCGAGTCACTTCTGGGGTGTGAGTTTTCATTCGCATATAGTCCTGGGGACCATTCAGGCTTGTTCGCATTTGTGTTCCTCACGTGTGCCCCAAAGAATGAGGTGATTTGGTGAAATGCTATGCCCAAGATTACCATCCGAGTTGCCGTCGGGGAAGTGGCTCAAATAGCCTCGGCTATCACTATATATATATACGCTCCCTTGTCGGGGAGCGTGTCCTTATAACACTAGTCCTATATGGAGCATATACCTCCCTGGGTGGAGGGTTCAACTCCTTGGGAGTAATGACTACTTTGTGGGAACTAATGGTCGTTTAAACCACTACGCACTTGTCTCTTATCTCCTGACAATGGTCTCTGTTTTTGCCCTAACTGATAGCCTCGGATCCAAGACGGCCGTTTCCGAGTTAATACACAACCTATCTATCCTATCTATCCCCACTCCCGTGGTCACAGTCCTGAATCCCAGTTCCCTAGCCAAATTCTCACCAAAACATGGAAATAAATCAGATATTATGTGAAACGTTTGGAGGGAGTGAGAGAGAGAGAGGGAGTGAGAGAGAGGGAGTGAGAGAACGCTACTCAGGCGAGGAGTCACAGTAACGTGGCTAAAGTATGTTGACCAGACCACACACTAGAATGTGAAGGGACGACGACGACGTTTCGGTCCGTCCTGGACCATTCTCAATCGACTTGAGAATGGTCCAGGACGGACCGAAACGTCGTCGTCGTCCCTTCACATTCTAGTGTGTGGTCTGGTCAACGCTACTCAAGATCCATAAGCTTAGACAGCGTCTTGGAGCCAGCAATAGCCGGCCAGTAACAACCACTGTGGTTGGTCATGGACAAATAACGGCCAGTTGACACAATTGGTTATCTGGTGGGTGCAGGGAAGCGGGCTCCACCTCGGCCAGCTCGGCCAGCTTGGCCAGCAAACACCAGCCCGCTCTATTAATACGTCTTAACGGCTCCTCTGGAAGGCTTGGCCGTGAATCAACAAATCAGAGGGTTAGGATCGTGTGGGTGGGTGTGTGTGTGTGTGTGTGTGTGTGTGTGTGTGTGTGTGTGTGTGTGTGTGTGTGTGTGTGTGTGTGTGTGTGTATGTGTGTGTGTATGGCCGTCCTGAGTGTGTGTCTATGGACGTCCTGAGTGTGTGTGTGTGTACGTCCTGAGTGTGTGTATGGGCGTCTCTGAGTGTGTAAGGACTCACTGAGTGTATGGGAGACAGGGGGGGCGGTGGGCGAGAGGGGTTCCGGATGAGGAAGCCCAACCACTCCCGTGAAGTCCACGGCGGCGTGGAAGCCGCTGTACTTGTATGGCGGGCTGCGAGGTCCAGAACTGCTCCAGCGGGGGGGAAGAAAGAGAACCCACAGTTAGAACCCACAGAACCCACAGTTAGAACCCACAGTTAGAACCCACAGTTAGAACCCACAGTTAGAACCCATAGTTAGAACCCACAGTTAGAACCCACAGTTAGAACCCACAGTTAGAACCCATAGTTAGAACCCATAGTTAGAACCCACAGTTAGAACCCACAGTTAGAACCCACAGTTAGAACCCATAGTTAGAACCCATAGTTAGAACCCACAGTTAGAACCCACAGTTAGAACCCATAGTTAGAACCCATAGTTAGAACCCACAGTTAGAACCCATAGTTAGAACCCACAGTTAGAACCCACAGTTAGAACCCATAGTTAGAACCCACAGTTAGAACCCACAGTTAGAACCCATAGTTAGAACCCACAGTTAGAACCCACAGTTAGAACCCACAGTTAGAACCCACAGTTAGAACCCACGGTTAGAACCCACGGTTAGAACCCACGGTTAGAACCCACAGTTAGAACCCACAGTTAGAACCCACAGTTAGAACCCATAGTTAGAACCCACAGTTAGAACCCACAGTTAGAACCCACAGTTAGAACCCACAGTTAAAGGGGGGTAGAAATAGCCTAAGCTACTTTATCCCTTTGAGATGTATTTATTGCTTATCTCAATAAACATACTTGAACTTGAACCCACAGTTAGAACCCATAGTTAGAACCCACAGTTAGAACCCACAGTTAGAACCCACAGTTAGAACCCACAGTTAGAACCCACAGTTAGAACCCACAGTTAGAACCCACAGTTAGAACCCACGGTTAGAACCCACGGTTAGAACCCACAGTTAGAACCCATAGTTAGAACCCACAGTTAGAACCCACAGTTAGAACCCACAGTTAGAACCCACAGTTAGAACCCATAGTTAGAACCCACAGTTAGAACCCACAGTTAGAACCCACAGTTAGAACCCACAGTTAGAACCCACAGTTAGAACCCACAGTTAAAGGGGGGTAGAAATAGCCTAAGCTACTTTATCCCTTTGAGATGTATTTATTGCTTATCTCAATAAACATACTTGAACTTGAACCCACAGTTAGAACCCACAGTTAGAACCCATAGTTAGAACCCACAGTTAGAACCCACAGTTAGAACCCACAGTTAGAACCCACAGTTAGAACCCACGGTTAGAACCCACGGTTAGAACCCACGGTTAGAACCCACAGTAAGAACCCATAGTTAGAACCCACAGTTAGAACCCACAGTTAGAACCCACAGTTAGAACCCACAGTTAGAACCCATAGTTAGAACCCACAGTTAGAACCCACAGTTAGAACCCACAGTTAGAACCCACAGTTAGAACCCACAGTTAAAGGGGGGTAGAAATAGCCTAAGCTACTTTATCCCTTTGAGATGTATTTATTGCTTATCTCAATAAACATACTTGAACTTGAACCCACAGTTAGAACCCATAGTTAGAACCCACAGTTAGAACCCACAGTTAGAACCCACAGTTAGAACCCACAGTTAGAACCCACAGTTAGAACCCACAGTTAGAACCCACGGTTAGAACCCACGGTTAGAACCCACGGTTAGAACCCACAGTTAGAACCCATAGTTAGAACCCACAGTTAGAACCCACAGTTAGAACCCACAGTTAGAACCCACAGTTAGAACCCACAGTTAAAGGGGGGTAGAAATAGCTTAAGCTACTTTATCCCTTTGAGATGTATTTATTGCTTATCTCAATAAACATACTTGAACTTGAACCCACAGTTAGAACCCACAGTTAGAACCCATAGTTAGAACCCACAGTTAGAACCCACAGTTAGAACCCACGGTTAGAACCCACAGTTAGAACCCACAGTTAGAACCCACAGTTAGAACCCACTGTTAGAACCCACAGTTAGAACCCACAGTTAGAACCCAACACGCCTCTAAACTCCTACAGATTAAACACATTTACCTCCACCAACCAAAAATTAGAACCAATTTTGCCTCGAAGAACACGCTACAAGAATAAAAGAACTCCCCCTTGTTTCCAGAAACGCAATTGAAGATCCCTTTTCCCTCCTAGAACCCAATAAAAGAACTCCCCCTTACCTTCCAAAGCCCAACGGAAGAACCCCTTTGCCTTCAAGAAACCAGTGCAAGAACTTAGAATTTAATATCGTGAGTACCCCCGGCTTCCAGACCTTTTCCACGAGAACCCCCTGGCTTCCAGACCTTTTCCATGAGAACCCCCTGGCTTCCAGACCCTTTCCATGAGAACCCCCTGGCTTCCAGACTCTTTCCATGAGAACCCCCTGGCTTCCAGACCTTTTCCATGAGAACCCCCTGGTTTCCAGACCCCTACCATGAGAACCCCCTGGCTTCCAGACCCCTACCATGAGAACCCCCTGGCTTCCAGACCCCTACCATGAGAACCCCCTGGCTTCCAGACTCCTACCATGAGAACCCCCTGGATTCCAGACTCCTACCATGAGAACCCCCTGGCTTCCAGACTCCTACCATGAGAACCCCCTGGATTCCAGACCCCTACCATGAGAACCCCCTGGCTTCCAGACTCCTACCATGAGAACCCCCTGGCTTCCAGACTCCTACCATGAGAACCCCCTGGATTCCAGACCCCTACCATGAGAACCCCCTGGCTTCCAGACTCCTACCATGAGAACCCCCTGGATTCCAGACCCTGGTTTCCAGTCGCTACTGGTTCTCATGCACCACTAGCGACTGGAGTTCTCAAGAAGTTCTAGCAGCATCTTAGGTTTCTGGTGCTCTCCAGCGGACCTACCTGAAATCCAGTAGAACGTTTGGACCCGAAAATGAGATGGTCCTCTTGTCGGAGGCGCAGAGGGAGGCGATGAGGGGGGAGGAGGTGGAGGTTCCTGCGTAGATAGCGACGTAGTCGGTGGAGCAGCGCCTGTAGAAGGAGTAGGAGGAGAGCCTGTAGGAGTAGGCAGAGCCTGTAGGAGGAGAGAGAGGCCCTACTCTCTACAGGAGAGTAGGGTCATACTCTCCTGTTTTCACAGGTGTATAACTTGGGATATATTGCCCCGTGATTCGGTATATATATATACTGTGAGTTTACCTGAGTCCTGGGCTATGTACAGGACTAAAGTATACTTGTTGCTATACTTTATAAAGTATATAAAGTATTCTGTCATTCTCAAAAGTTATACTCACGCCCGGTCATTCATTTACATTCATCTAATCCTCTCTCTCTCTCTCTCTCTCTCTCTCTGTCTCTCTCTCTCTCTCTCTCTCTCTCTCTCTCTCTCTCTCTCTCTCTCTCTCTCTCTCTCTCTCTCTCTCTCTCTCTCTCTCTCTCTCTCTCTCTCCTTCAGTCATGCAACAATTCAACGTGAATTAATCGTGCAAAATAGGAACCTATTCCAGCCTGGTAATAGTTCGCATTTCGAACACTTGTCAATCAGTGTACGAAATGTGCGACTCAAGCAGGTGCTTCATTCACATCCAGCAACCCGTCGTGTCGACTAAATCGTCGCATATATTGTATACGTAATCGACCAGTCCGTTGAAATGTATCGTATGAGTGAAGCGCCGTAATATTCACGTTTTCTAAGCATCGCTTTCGATAGGTTAGATGGGCTGCTTGGGTTTGTACGCTGCTGGTTAGGCCAAGCTGGCCTAGTCAAAGAACTAGACAGTATAGTCTGTCATCTAAACAATCTTCTAAATCAACGTACGTAGTCAAAAAACAACTTGTCTAACTATACTTAGGTCTAGTCAAGAGCGCCAATATGTAATCAAATAATTGATTGCAACAACTTTGCTCTAACATCGGTCGGCCGAGCGGACAGCACGCGGGACTTGTGATCCTGTGGTCCTGGGTTCGATCCCAGGCGCCGGCGAGAAACAATGGGCAGAGTTTCTTTCACCCTATGCCCCTGTTACCTAGCAGTAAAATAGGTACCTGGGTGTTAGTCAGCTGTCACGGGCTGCTTCCTGGGCGTGGAGGCCTGGTCGAGGACCGGGCCGCGGGGACACTAAAGCCCCGAAATCATCTCAAGAACCTCAAGATAACACTATAAAAGCTTCAACCCGGGCAGTTGATTAATGTGTAAATGCAATACTGATTTATTAAACTCTGGCGATAGGCAGTATCGCGATAACACCACTGCAGTAATGATAATATTTGCGATAATTATAAACAACAAATATATATCAGGCACAATAACGTGAATTTTACCTGTCTAAACATCAGGGAACTGTCCCTGTCCATTCATCAGTGAGATTCACCTGTCTAAACATCAGGGAACTGTCCCTGTCCATTCATCAGTGAGATTCACCTGTCTAAACATCAGGGAACTGTCCCTGTCCATTCATCAGTGAGATTCACCTGTCTAAACATCAGGGAACTGTCCCTGTCCATTCATCAATGAGATTCACCTGTCTAAACATCAGGGAACTGTCCCTGTCCATTCATCAGTGAGATTCACCTGTCTAAACATCAGGGAACTGTCCCTGTCCATTCATCAGTGAGATTCACCTGTCTAAACATCAGGGAACTGTCCCTGTCCATTCATCAGTGAGATTCACCTGTCTAAACATCAGGGAACTGTCCCTGTCCATTCATCAGTGAGATTCACCTGTCCAAACACCAGGGAACTGTCCCTGTCCATTCATCAATGAGCTTCACCTGTCCAAACACCAGGGAACTTGTCCTGTCCATTAATCAGTGAGATTCACCTGTCCAAACACCAGGGAACTGTTCCTGTCCATTAATCAATGAGCTTCACCTGTCTAAACATCAGGGAACTGTCCCTGTCCATTCATCAATGAGATTCACCTGTCCAAACACCAGGGCACTGTTCCTGTCTCTTGATCTGAACAACCGTTCGTATTCCTTGAAGAACAGCCATATATTTTGTTCTGTTCTTGGAGGGAAAAGAGATGGAGTGCATTACTCCAGGTTCCGGAAAGACTTTGGAGTAAGTAAAGTAACACTTGGAGTAAGTAAAGTAACACTTGGAGTAAGTGAGACCGTCAGTGAGAGACACTCACACTTATATGCTTCAGGAACATTATGAGGAGTGCGATTTGAGCCTCTCATTAGATTTTTTGCTCCTTTTAAAGTATCTAGAAGTACTTTAGTGGACGTTTGAAAGTTTCCGGTACTTTTTCCATTTCGTAGTTTGGGAGTTTCCAATACCACAGCCGTTTTGTCGAATCTTAAAGCTTAAATTGAGAGTGTGTGACGGGCAATTAGAGTTTAGTGATACAGTTGTGGGGTGGGAATCTTCTTTAATGACAACCATGAAGCGGTAGGTAGGAGGAGTCCAGCTTACTCCAGTAGGGAGGAGTCCACCTCACTCCAGTAGATAGAAGTCCACCTCACTCCAGTAGATAGAAGTCCACCTCACTCCAGTAGATAGAAGTCCACCTCACTCCAGTAGATAGAAGTCCACCTCACTCCAGTAGATAGAAGTCCACCTCACTCCAGTAGATAGAAGTCCACCTCACTCCAATATATAGAAGTCCACCTCACTCCAATATATAGAAGTCCACCTCACTCCAGTAGATAGAAGTCCACCTCACTCCAATATATAGAAGTCCACCTCACTCCAATATATAGAAGTCCACCTCACTCCAGTAGATAGAAGTCCACCTCACTCCAATATATAGAAGTCCACCTCACTCCAGTAGATAGAAGTCCACCTCACTCCAATAGTAGATAGAAGTCCACCTCACTCCAGTAGATAGAAGTCCACCTCACTCCAATAGATAGAAGTCCACCTCACTCCAGTAGATAGAAGTCCACCTCACTCCAATAGATAGAAGTCCACCTCACTCCAATAGTAGATAGAAGTCCACCTCACTCCAGTAGATAGAAGTCCACCTCACTCCAATAGATAGAAGTCCACCTCACTCCAGTAGATAGAAGTCCACCTCACTCCAGTAGATAGAAGTCCACGTCACTCCAATAGATAGAAGTCCACCTCACTCCAGTAGATAGAAGTCCACCTCACTCCAATAGATAGAAGTCCACCTCACTCCAGTAGATAGAAGTCCACCTCACTCCAGTAGATAGAAGTCCACCTCACTCCAGTAGATAGAAGTCCACCTCACTCCAATAGATAGAAGTCCACCTCACTCCAGTAGATAGAAGTCCACCTCACTCCAGTAGATAGAAGTCCACCTCACTCCAATAGATAGAAGTCCACCTCACTCTAGTAGATAGAAGTCCACCTCACTCCAATAGATAGAAGTCCACCTCACTCCAATAGATAGAAGTCCACCTCACTCCAGTAGATAGAAGTCCACCTCACTCCAGTAGATAGAAGTCCACCTCACTCCAGTAGATAGAAGTCCACCTCACTCCAGTAGATAGAAGTCCACCTCACTCCAGTAGATAGAAGTCCACCTCACTCCAGTAGATAGAAGTCCACCTCACTCCAGTAGATAGAAGTCCACCTCACTCCAATAGATAGAAGTCCACCTCACTCCAATAGATAGAAGTCCACCTCACTCCAGTAGATAGAAGTCCACCTCACTCCAATAGATAGAAGTCCACCTCACTCCAGTAGATAGAAGTCCACCTCACTCCAATATATAGAAGTCCACCTCACTCCAATAGATAGAAGTCCACCTCACTCCAGTAGATAGAAGTCCAACTTACTCCAGTAGATAGAAGTCCACCTCACTCCAATAGATAGAAGTCCACCTCACTCCAGTAGATAGAAGTCCACCTCACTCCAGTAGATAGAAGTCCACCTCACTCCATAGATAGAAGTCCACCTCACTCCAGTAGATAGAAGTCCACCTCACTCCAATAGATAGAAGTCCACCTCACTCCAGTAGATAGAAGTCCACCTCACTCCAGTAGATAGAAGTCCACCTCACTCCAGTAGATAGAAGTCCACCTCACTCCAGTAGATAGAAGTCCACCTCACTCCAGTAGATTGAAGTCCACCTCACTCCAATAGGCAGCAGTTCCTCTCACAATATCAAATTTCAAATTCAGAAACGTTATTAATTAATGTATATCTTTTTGATAATTGCGTTGGTTTACACAAGATAATCATGATAATTATATACAGTGCATTATAGACTTATAGATTTAGATACCTAATATACATTTATTGGTCAAATCAAATCTGTAATTGATTTGGTTACCTCGGATACCTCGAACGAGAATCCTGCTAAACGCCCAGAGAAACCAAACAGGACAGATCGGCTCATTAGAAACTTAAGATAAGTGCAATCAGTTTCCGAAGTCGTCTACAATCCTCGCAGCGTTCTCTCCAAATCCGGTGAGTGCTAAGGAGTCTGAAGAAGTCAACTATGGTCAATATTCATTGAGCACTTAAGCCTCCACTAACGAAACCTCTACATCTTCTCTCGACTATAGTGACTTAGTTTACATTTATTACGAGGTTGTCTATAGCCGTAACAATCTTCGGTTGTTTAGATGTTGATAAGCTCGTTAACTGTTTAATGAAAGTATATTTAGCCGCCTCGATCGAGGAAAGATGGACAGGTTTCGAAATTGGAGACTTTTGAAATACTTGATGAAGTCTGTCCTAGTCAGGTCTTTTAGAAGGGGGGCCTGACGGCTGAGTGGACAGCGCTCGGCATTCGTAGTTTTAAGGTTATGAGTTCGATCCCCAGTGGGGGCGGAAAAAAGTTTGAGTTTTGAGGAAACTCTGCCCATTGAGGAAATGGACAGAGTTTCTTGAACCCTGATGCGCCTGTTCACCTAGCAGTAAATAGGTACCTGGGAGTTAAGACAGCTGCTACGGGCTGCTTCCTGGGGGGGGGGGGGTGTAACAAAAAGGAGGCCTGGTCGAGGACCGGGCCGCGGGGACGCTAAGTCCCGAAATCATCTCAATATAACCTCAAGGTATAGATGATTAACCCTAGCTAGTAGCTAGATTAACCCTCCCTAGTAGGGAGCCAGTCGGCCGAGCGGACGGCACGCTGGACTTGTGATCCTGTGGTCCTGTGTTCGATCCCAGGCGCCGGCGAGAAACAATGGGCAGAGTTTCTTTCACCCTATGCCCCTGTTACCTAGCAGTAAAATAGGTACCTGGGTGTTAGCCAGCTGTCACGGGCTGCGTCCTGGGGGTGGAGGCCTGGTCGAGGACCGGGCCGCGGGGACACTAAAGCCCCGAAATCATCTCAAGATAACCTCAAGATAGCTAGGCTATCTGTGCTGAATTGGTTGTGATATCAAGATCTCTGGCTCTTGACTTTGTCAAGTGAAAGCAGCCCACAGAATCAATAATTAATTCTTATTAATAATTTCTTAATAATTCTTATTAATTAATAATTAATTCAATTAATAATCAATCCCTATAACTCTGTTGCTCTTTATTTGTTTCCATTCCTTGCAATCTGCCTCTGAAGATGCTGAGAGAAACACAGCGAAACACGTCAGGCCGATTTTAGGTGTAAAATGAATTTTGGATAAAAATGTTCTCAAGTGTTTTCCCAATTGAAGACGAACTTAAGAAATGTGAAGAAGATTCTAGATAATAGGGGTATATATAATTCCAATAATTACCTGCATTAGTATGACTGAATTATGTAAAATACAGTATGAATTATGTAAATGCAGTATGAATTATGAAAATACAGTATGAAATATGTAAATACAGGTATTAAAATCTAGTTTAAACTAACCCAATTCTAAATGAACAGCCATTCACGAATCAATCTTTTGATTTGAAAGAAGAATCGTCAAAGAATCATTTGATTTCCCAAGGAAATATTCAACATATATATATATATATATATATATATATATATATATATTATATATATATATATATATATATATATATATATATATATATATATATATATATCCATTATCAAGTAACTGATAAAAATGATATGATAATATACATAAAAAAATGGCCACTCAGTATGTGTGATGGGAAATCAGATATCGGCTCATCTATCTCTTCCTGATTCACAAAACTATGCGTGGTGTGTGTTGGTAATTGATTTACCCACAGCCAAAATTTAATCTTTTTCCTCTCCTGCTAATGGATTCAATCAGACTTTTTGTTTGAAATTTTTTTGAATTCTTGTTTAAGTTCTTGGTTCTGTTTAAATTTTTGGTTCTATTCAGGTTCATGGTTCTATTCAGGTTCCTGGTTCTATTCAGGTTCTTCGTTCTATTTAGGTCCTTGGTTCTATTCAGGTTCCTGGTTCTATTCAGGTTCTTCGTTCTATTCAGGTTCTTCGTTCTATTCAGGTTCCTGGTTCTATTCAGGTCCTTGGTTCTATTCAGGTTCCTGGTTCTATTCAGGTTCATGGTTCTATTCAGGTTCCTGGTTCTATTCAGGTTCCTGGGTTCTATTCAGGTTCCTGGTTCTATTCAGGTCCTGGGTTCTATTCAGGTTCCTGGTTCTATTCAGGTTCATGGTTCTATTCAGGTTCATGGTTCTATTCAGGTTCCTGGTTCTATTCAGGTCCTTGGTTCTATTCAGGTTCCTGGTTCTATTCAGGTTCCTGGTTCTATTCAGGTTCCTGGTTCTATTCAGGTTCTTTGTTCTATTCAGGTCCTTGGTTCTATTCAGGTTCCTGTTCTATTCAGGTTCATGGTTCTATTCAGGTTCCTGGTTCTATTCAGGTTCCTGGGTTCTATTCAGGTTCCTGGTTCTATTCAGGTCCTGGGTTCTATTCAGGTTCCTGGTTCTATTCAGGTTCCTGGTTCTATTCAGGTTCTTGGGTTCTATTCAGGTTCTTGGTTCTATTCAGGTTCCTGGGTTCTATTCAGGTCCTGGTTCTATTCAGGTTCTTGGGTTCTATTCAGGTTCCTGGTTCTCTTCAAGTTCCTGGTTCTATTCAGGTTTCTGGTTCTCTTCAAGTTCCTGTTCTATTCAGGTTCTTGGTTCTATTCAGGGTTCCTGGTTCTATTCAGGTTCCTGGCTCTATTCAGGTTCCTGGCTCTATTCAGCTCCTGGTTCTATTCAGGTTCCTGGTTCTATTCAGGTTCCTGGTTCTATTCAGGTTCCTGGCTCTATTCAAGCTCCTGGTTCTATTCAGGGTTCCTGGTTCTATTCAGGTTTTTGGTTCTATTCAGGTTCATGGTTCTATTCAGGTTCCTGGTTCTATTCAGGTTCCTGGTTCTATTCAGGTCCTTGGTTCTATTCAGGTTCCTGGTTCTATTCAGGTTCATGGTTCTATTCAGGTTCATGGTTCTATTCAGGTTCCTGGTTCTATTCAGGTCCTTGGTTCTATTCAGGTTCCTGGTTCTATTCAGGTTCCTGGTTCTATTCAGGTTCCTGGTTCTATTCAGGTTCTTTGTTCTATTCAGGTCCTTGGTTCTATTCAGGTTCCTGGTTCTATTCAGGTTCATGGTTCTATTCAGGTTCCTGGTTCTATTCAGGTTCCTGGGTTCTATTCAGGTTCCTGGTTCTATTCAGGTCCTGGGTTCTATTCAGGTTCCTGGTTCTGTTCAGGTTCCTGGTTCTATTCAGGTTCTTGGGTTCTATTCAGGTTCTTGGTTCTATTCAGGTTCCTGGGTTCTATTCAGGTTCCTGGTTCTATTCAGGTTCTTGGGTTCTATTCAGGTTCCTGGTTCTCTTCAAGTTCCTGGTTCTATTCAGGTTTCTGGTTCTCTTCAAGTTCCTGGTTCTATTCAGGTTCTTGGTTCTATTCAGGGTTCCTGGTTCTATTCAGGTTCCTGGCTCTATTCAGGTTCCTGGCTCTATTCAAGCTCCTGGTTCTATTCAGGTTCCTGGTTCTATTCAGGTTCCTGGTTCTATTCAGGTTCCTGGTTCTATTCAGGTTCCTGGTTCTATTCAGGTTCTTTGTTCTATTCAGGTCCTTGGTTCTATTCAGGTTCCTGGTTCTATTCAGGTTCATGGTTCTATTCAGGTTCCTGGTTCTATTCAGGTTCCTGGGTTCTATTCAGGTTCCTGGTTCTATTCAGGTCCTGGGTTCTATTCAGGTTCCTGGTTCTATTCAGGTTCCTGGTTCTATTCAGGTTCTTGGGTTCTATTCAGGTTCTTGGTTCTATTCAGGTTCCTGGGTTCTATTCAGGTTCCTGGTTCTATTCAGGTTCTTGGGTTCTATTCAGGTTCCTGGTTCTCTTCAAGTTCCTGGTTCTATTCAGGTTTCTGGTTCTCTTCAAGTTCCTGGTTCTATTCAGGTTCTTGGTTCTATTCAGGGTTCCTGGTTCTATTCAGGTTCCTGGCTCTATTCAGGTTCCTGGCTCTATTCAAGCTCCTGGTTCTATTCAGGTTCCTGGTTCTATTCAGGTTCCTGGTTCTATTCAGGTTCCTGGCTCTATTCAAGCTCCTGGTTCTATTCAGGGTTCCTGGTTCTATTCAGGTTTTTGGTTCTATTCAGGTTCATGGTTCTATTCAGGTTCCTGGTTCTATTCAGGTTCTTTGTTCTATTCAGGTCCTTGGTTCTATTCAGGTTCCTGGTTCTATTCAGGTTCATGGTTCTATTCAGGTTCCTGGTTCTATTCAGGTTCCTGGGTTCTATTCAGGTTCCTGGTTCTATTCAGGTCCTGGGTTCTATTCAGGTTCCTGGCTCTATTCAAGCTCCTGGTTCTATTCAGGTTCCTGGTTCTATTCAGGTTCCTGGTTCTATTCAGGGTTCCTGGTTCTATTCAGGTTCTTGGTTCTATTCATGTTCCACTAACGTTGTCAAACAAGGGGAGAAGTAATAACATTGTGCCACCAATTACTGTCTCTTTATGAAACTAACTCTAAATATGTATTAATTAAATAAATACATTTGATATTTCCTGTTTAGAATTAAATTTATAAATTTGTTAATGAACATTCCCTGATGTTTGACTTAGTATGGTAATTGAGTACATATTTATCTTTGATGTTTAAAGGTGTTGATTATTGACGTCAGGGTTGATTGTGATGATAAGAGTTTGATTGGGACGTCAGAAGGGTCTGATTGTGATGATAAGGGTTTGATTGGGACGTCAGAAGGGTCTGATTGTGATGATAAGGGTTTGATTGGGACGTCAGAAGGGTCTGATTGTGATGATAAGGGTCTGATTGGGACGTCAGAATGGTCTGATTGGGACGTCAGAAGGGTCTGATTGGGACGTCAGAAGCGTTTGATTGGGACGTCAGAAGGGTTTGATTGAGACGTCAGAAGGGTCTGATTGTGATGATAAGGGTTTGATTGGGACGTCAGAAGGGTCTGATTGTGATGATAAGGGTTTGATTGGGACGTCAGAAGGGTCTGATTGGGACGTCAGAAGGGTCTGATTGGGACGCCAGAAGGATCTGATTGGGACGCCAGAAGGGTCTGATTGGGACGCCAGAAGGGTCTGATTGGGATGTCAGAAGGGTCTGATTGGGACGTCAGAAAGGTCTGATTGGGACGTTATGGGTCACAAAATCATATTAGGAGTTATAAGGACAAAGTAAGCTCTGGGTTATGATGACAGATTAATTGATTAATTGATGAATAGATCCTTCATCCGTCTGTGAAGGAACGGTGCTCAACTACTCGGACCTTCGGGGATCGAACCCCGGCTCGGCAAAGAAGCAAAGGCCGTTCCTTTTCCCCGAAGCCCAAAAGAAACAAAAAACAACGATTTGGGGCAAAGGAAATAGCAAAATAATGATATATTAAAATTTTGAAATAGAAAATCAAACTCTAGAAAGAATTAGCGACAGAGTGATTTTTGACCAATTTAGAAACACATAGAGAGTGAAAATAAATAAAATTTCGAAAGGAATCTATTGAAACAACTTGAGGAACATGCAAAGAAAATGGGAATCATTAAAGGTGGGACGATAGAAAACGCGAGAAGAAATAGACCACCAGAAGCTCTCGGTCCTGACACGGCCGTAAAGAGGATCTTCAGGCGGAAGGAAGAATGAGAAAGAGGTGAGGAAGAAGAGGGAAGAGGAGGAGGAGGTGTGTTAGGAAGGGGACTCACTGTGGGTGAAGATCCATGGTGAGAAAGGTGACATTTCCTGCTGTATCCGGACTAGACATGACCACCAGGTAGCGGCAGCGGACGTGGGCCGGATACATTCCTGGGAAACCTGGTGACGTGATCTCGCAGTCACCTCTCCTGGTGCAGTGCACGTCCTGGTACACCCAGTCGCAGGCTGTGGGGGGGGGGAGATTGTGGGGAGATGGGGGAGAGTGGGGAGAGATGGGGGAGAGTGGGGGGGGGGAGAGTGGGGGGAGAGAGATAGTTATGCATAAAAATGTTGGGTTATATCTAACAAACTTTATTCAATCCCATTCGCACACACATACACACACACACACACACACACACACACACACACACACACACACACACACACACACACACACACACACACACACACACACACACACACACACACTAACAACCACCCCCCCCCGTCACACCAGTGCCAGATGCCAGATCACAATTGGGTGCCACCCAATTACAAAACAATTACGGCACTGCGTGCAGTGAATGCCCCGGACCTTCTCCTGACTCCTCCATCACCTTTAACTGTACCTTTCTTCCCTTCCTCAGCACTCAACTCACTCTGGCCTACTCTCGCACTTGTGTAAACTCACAGCACTCTCCCAGTTGAATTATTCAGTGCATCGGAGCCCTTAACACCAGGTGAGAGATGTCTGCTGTCATACTGGCATGTATAACGCCAATATTCTCAAACTTTTTCCATTTTGGGCCGTGAACAAGCAGCGGTTGGAAGCCACAACTTAAGGCGCTCAGCCTTAAGTTATGGCGTAAGCTCATTCATGGGATGACTGGAATTTGGAATATCTTCTCAGAGTAAGCAGATACGTGTGAAATAAGGTCAAAAGACTATATCAAGGCTCTGATACGCAGCTTCACCCTATATCTAATACGCTTGATGTAGTGTTAAATTAAGTTGATATCTAATGATGAGACAAAATAGCTTAGTTGCTAGGTTAGGATAGCGATTAGCTGATGCAGGATAGCAGCTTTTAGGTTGGAATACTTATTTAGGAATGGTAATGGACTATAGGTCCTATTGAACCTGCCAAGGTGTGGAGCCCGAGAGAGAGAGAGAGAGAGAGAGAGAGAGAGAGAGAGAGAGAGAGAGAGAGAGAGAGAGAGAGAGAGAGAGAGAGAGAGAGAGAGAGAGAGAGACAGAGAGACAGAGAGAGATAAATATACCCCCCCCCCCCACACCCATATATTATCTTCATGATCAAATGATCAAATTCTTCAACAATTGCTGTCAGCGAGATTTTCACATCTTGAGACATGATTCACATTGAGAAACAACAGCCCCGTTTGACTCTTCCCCTCCCCCCCCCCTTCCTACCCATTCGTGTGTGGGTGTGAAACAGTGTTGTATATAACTACCTGCGGCCAGTTAATGGTTCCCAGGGCGGCCCTTAGAATGCCATCTTCAAGGAACGCAAAATGTGATCCTCTAAGACTGTTGGGACATATTGGTAATCTTGGATGAGTCAAATGTGGGTTTGATAGGACGGAAGGTTCTTGACTCCTTCTTCTGCTGCCTCGGTCTTGTTTGGTCTGTTGACAGGTTTGTTGACAGGTCTGTTGACAGGTCTATTGACAAGTCTGTTTCGTCTGTTGCACCTGTTTTCAGGCTTGTAGCATCGTGTCCTCTGCATGGTTGTACCTGTTTTCAGGCTTGTAGCATCGTGTCCTCTGCATGGTTGTACCTGTTTTCAGGCTTGTAGCATCGTGTCCTCTGCATGGTTGCACCTGTTTTCAGGCTTGTAGCATCGTGTCCTCTGCATGGTTGCATCTGATGGTTGATTTTCATCCAGTAGAGGACGTGAGAGGTTTGTAGCTGGGAGTGGTTGTGGTGGGTGTAATAGGCAGTGGGTGAGGTAGGTGGGTGGTTGTTGGTGTGGGTGGTAGACAGGCTGACCTTAGCCACCACAGGGGGGAGGGGGGGGGGTTCTGACATTGCTTGGGGGTGGGGGAGTCTCGGTTCACCATGGGAGTATTGACGTGGGGTGGGAGAAAGATTGAAGTGGAGAGGTGTCGTGATCCAAGTCTCTGTTCGCCTGGGGCTCTTCCCTCATTGATTTCTTTTCTACCTCACAAACACCGCCTCTTCACCTCATATCACACACACACACACACACACACACACACACACACACACACACACACACACACACACACACACACACACACATTAACTCTTTCAGTGTCAGAGCAGTAGACAAATGGAATGCATTAGGAAGTGATGTGGTGGAGGCTGACTGACTCCATACACAGCTTCAAGTGTAGATATGATAGAGCCCAGTAGGCTCAGGAACCTGTACACCAGTTGATTGACAGTTGAGAGGAGGGACCAAAGAGCCAGAGCTCATCCCCCGCAAGCACAACTAGGTAAGTACAACTAAGTAAATACACACACACATTTTACCTTTCAGTTTGTCACTAACGAAGACACTCCATCAATTCTCTCGTATTTAGTATCATAAGAGCAAAAATCTCAGCTTCTAGCAAGGAAGATCCGAACCAACTGCAAGAATGGTTCAAATAGGGTGTTTGAAGAGTTAAACTCCAAGAAATGCAAAGCAATGAGGCTGAGGTAACTATTGGCTAGACACAATGAGAGAGACAGACAGACTAACACATCACAACACTCATTTCTCACCTCAGTGTTTTAATGTCCGTATTTCTTACCATTTTATTAAGTGAGGAAGAAGCAATATTATCAAGCCAGAGGTCTCAATTAACATTCACTTCAGACTTTTCCAAAAAGTCTCAGTTTTATCCTGTGTTGAGTGAATTTAAGACTTTATTATTATTATTCTTGATGGAATTGCACCGTTTGGAATTTTATAGGTATGTGTTTTGGTCTGTGATGTCTGTCTGTTTGTGATATCTGTCTGTTAGTCTTTGATTTATCTTTCTCTTTGGGATCTGTTCTTTAGTGATCTGTCTCTTTGGGATCTGTCCTCCAGTGATCTGTCTCTTTGGGATCTGTCCTCCAGTGATCTGTCTCTTTGGGATCTGTTCTTTAGTGATCTGTCTCTTTGGGATCTGTTCTTTAGTGATCTGTCTCTTTGGGATCTGTCTTCCAGTGATCTGTCTCTTTGGGATCTGTCCTCCAGTGATCTGTCTCTTTGGGATCTGTCCTCCAGTGATCTGTCTCTTTGGGATCTGTCTTCCAGTGATCTGTCTCTTTGGGATCTGTCCTCCAGTGATCTGTCTCTTTGGGATCTGTCTTCCAGTGATCTGTCTCTTTGGGATCTGTCCTCCAGTGATCTGTCTCTTTGGGATCTGTCTGTTAGTCTGATCAGAGGCCTAAGGGGCTACAATTAATTTGACTTAATAATTTGATCATTGATTTAATCAAATTATTAATATTTCCATTCGATTAGATATATGTGTTTCGAAACCTCTCTCAAATTGGGAGAGTACAAACAGGAGGGGATAGGGCTCTGAGGCCCCTAGCATTACATCTAGGCTAGACGAATTTTTACATAAGGGTTGTTTTCACTGCTCAACTTTATGCTCGAAAGGCGAGGAAAAGTTGTTGTGATTGAAACTGATTTCATGATTTCAGTGGAAGTACAGTTTGGGGGACTTTGGAAACTGTAATGAATTATGGTTTAAAATTTGTACCGAGTTTGGAGTTTAATGTGTGTGTGTGTGTGTGTGTGTGTGTGTGTGTGTGTGTGTGGTGCCTTTCAGAGTTTAGGGATTTGGGGTTCAATCCCCGAGGTTCCAGACTTCAGTATTTTCACATTCTCGGTATATGAACGGAAAGCGTGTAGATGGAGCCTGCATGCAGGTTCGAATCCTCTCTAACCCAAACCTGCACACATACACACGGGAGGCTCACAGCTTTAAAGGTCTTCGCTCCGACGGAGACGTTTTGGGAGGCTAATCCATTGGTAATGTAATGAAAAAATTGATCGCAAAGTGGCTTCGTAAGCGGTTTTGCATCAACAGCGGAATTACAGTTTGGTTGGGGGGGGGGGGGGGGTGGGGCGGGGGGGTTTGTTGGAAGGTCTTGGTAGACCTTCCACAACTACCCCCACATCCCCCTCCCTCCCTCTCTCTCTCTCTCTCTCTCTCTCTCTCTCTCTCTCTTCTCTCTCCGCTCTCTCTCTCTCTCTCTCTCTCCTCTCTCTCTCTCTCTCTCCTCTCTGATCTCTCTCTCTCTCTCCCGTGTTTGCTGTTGTTTTCTCATTCACGAAGCTTTATTTATCGTTGGTTGGTTGACTGACTGACTGACTGCCTACCTACCTACCTATCTACCTGCCTACCTACCTACCTACCTACCTACCTACCTACCTACCTACCTACCTGCCTACCTATCTACCTGCCTACCTACCTACCTACCTACCTACCTACCTACCTACCTACCTGCCTACCTACCTACCTACCTACCTACCTACCTACCTACCTACCTACCTGCCTACCTACCTACCTGCCTACCTACCTACCTACCTACCTACCTACCTACCTACCTGCCTACCTACCTACCTACCTACCTACCTACCTACCTACCTACCTACCTACCTACCTGCCTACCTGCCTACCTACCTACCTACCTACCTACCTACCTACCTGCCTACCTGCCTACCTACCTACCTACCTACCTACCTACCTACCTACCTACCTACCTTCCTACCTACCTACCTACCTACCTACCTCCCTCCCTTCATGTCTTCAGGCTTAAATACATTGATTTGTCCTGGCTTAGCCCTAAAACGTGTTTTGCTTTTGAAAATTGTGAGCAGGACTCTGGCCCTTTGCTCAGACGCCGCCTTCATTACGTCGAGATGAGATTTTTAAATAGCTGTAAGAGGATTTTTTTATATATAAATATGACCGGTACACCTAATCTGGGTATAGTGGTGGTTGGTACACTTGTAGGTACACTTTTGGCCTAGTGTAGTGGTGACAGTACACTTGCTTGGGGGGGGATAGTGATCGTGGTACACTTGAAGGTATACTTCAGGTGTGATAGTGGTGCTACACTTGTAGGTATACCTCTCCCCCTGGAATAATGGGAGAGGGGGGGGGGAGGTATACTGGGAGTAATCCCCCCTCCCTCCTTCTAATTAATATTCCTGTGATTGGCTCCACACTTACACTCTCGTCTCGCTCATCCCCTTTACACACCTGACTTGCTGGGTCTTCAGGTGTGTGCAGCCCCCCTGACACCAACCTGCTGACACACCTGGCTTTGGTGTTCTTCTCTTTTTATCAGTTTGTGAGATTAAACTGTGTGTGTGTGTGTGTGTGTGTGTGTGTGTGTGTGTGTGTGTGTGTGTGTGTGTGTGTGTGTGTGTGTGTGGGTGGGTGTGTACTCACCTAGTTGTACTCACCTAGTTGTGCTTGCGGGGGTTGAGCTCTGGCTCTTTGGTCCCGCCTCTCAACCGTCAATCAACAGGTGTACAGATTCATGAGCCTATCGGGCTCTGTCATATCTACACTTGAAACTGTGTATGGAGTCAGCCTCCACCACATCACTTCCTAATGCATTCCATTTGTGTGTGTGTGTGTGTGTGTGTGTGTGTGTGTGTGTGTGTGTGTGTGTGTGTGTGTGTGTGTGTGTGTGTGTGTGTGTGTGTGTAGTTGTTTTAGCAACTATTATAAGGAACTACATCAGTTTCATTCCCATATAAAAACAAGAGCGATAGGAAGGTTAAGCTAGAAATTACCTACTTAAAATGATCTGATAAGTTCGGATATCAAATATCAAAATTGATATTTGATATTTCGGATATCAAATATCAAAAAGTTCATTGATATCAAAATATCAATGCTATCCACTCTTGTCCCTGATTTGATATCATACCGTTGTGTACCTGTGTACCTCAGCTGGTCTTACCGTGGTACACCTTTGGTACACTAGATGAGTTGCATAATTCGCATGTTGTAATATGCTTTTTGGGTATACTGCATTCACTGTAACTTGTATATACCCCTTCCCCCCCCCTTCACCTGGGTGTTCAGAACACCGTACCCCGAGTGTATATACCCCTCCCCCCCTCACCTGGGTGTTCAGAACACCGTACCCCGATTGTATATACCCCTCCCCCCTCACCTGGGTGTTCAGAACACCGTACCCCGATTGTATATACCCCTCCCCCCTCACCTGGGTGTTTCAGAACACCGTACCCTGAGTGTATATACCCCTCCCCCCTCACCTGGGTGTTCAGAACGTACCGTACCCCGAGTGTATATACCCCTCCCCCCCCCCTCACCTGGTGTTCAGAACACCGTACCCCGAGTGTATATACCCCTCCCCCCTCACCTGGGTGTTCAGAACACCGTACCCCGAGTGTATATACCCCTCCCCCCCTCACCTGGGTGTTCAGAACACCTGGTGTATACACCCCTCAACACCTCACCTGGGGTGTAGCAACACACGCACCTGTGTACTCCATCCTGGTGCCTCCTCTGTGCTTGATGCCGGTGACGGGGTCAGTAATGCGCGGGAAGCTGTAGTAGGCGATGAACCGTGGGCTGCCCCACTTCTCACTCACG